CTATTTTATTTTGGAGCTGGGGCAGTCGAGAGTTTTTAATAGCTTTCGTCCCAGTCACTGCAGTGCTACTTCTGTTCTTCTTTCCACTGTTAGTCATTGTCATGTGAACGCTGTGCAGTGTCAAGATATTTTTCTGTGTCATCTTTTACATTGGACTCTACACACTGTCACATGGGTCCTGAGCAGGGATATGTGAAATTGCCTGTACCTCGCCACATTGCAGCAGATCAGCTACAACACACAGGCTCTGTGTGGAGTAATTCCTCAGAAGATGTCTGCTTATGCTCTTCGTCGCATGTTTCAGATTTTTAGCCATAATACTCATGCTGATGTATTTTGCAAAGCTCCACCTGATAAGATGTGGCAATGCTTTTTCTGTTCCTGAGATTAAGCAAAGTTTGCATGGAGCAGTGCTGCTATATTTGCTTTTGAGGAAAAAATAAAGGTTAAACAAACTAAAGCACTGTGCAGACTAGGACCAGGACCGAAGGAAGCAAAACGGTGCCACAATTAGTCCAGATTTCTATGTGGCACAATATTTATGCTGCACTGTACCTGCTGTACAGTTTATATGATGTAGTCCTGCTTGGTTGGTTTCATTTTAATTTCAGTTCAGTCAATTAGTATTTAGATTATAATGCAAATTTTAATCATTATAAAAGGGCACTTCCACTCATGGGTATAAACATTGACCTTTAAATATAAACTTTATCCACTGAATAAATTACTTAGTTAATATTGAGTTAGTAAGTGTTTAATATGACTTCCTTTTATTCTGTTAGAGACACAACTGTATCCATTCTTGCGTGTAAATCAGCAGCGTTGCTATATCCCTTGGTGTTTTAGGGGGTTTCAGAATAGAAAACTTGTTAGAATAGAGCCAGTGCTGCCACCATGTGGTCAAAATGAAAAATAAAGGTCTGTGTGTTTGTGTTCAGAGATCTGTGAACAAGAATGTGATTAGCTCCATCTGTTTCATCCACACTTTCTCTTTAGGTAGCTACAGATAAACAAGACAACAATGTGCATCTTTCATTTCATTTTCTCCACATCTACCCATATGTAGGTTATTTGTATTTTTTGATCTGCATTTAGGCGAGGAGTGTTAAGGATCGGCATACTGGTGCTTTGGTGCGTGGTTCTGCAGATATGTGTCGTTGTCTTTATTAGACTATTGATTGATTGTTTCTGGACAACTCTCAGGTCTACATATTTTGATCAGTCGTCTCCTATCCTCTTTTCTTTCCTGTTTTTGACTCTTCTCCTGAAATGGAGAGAGGAGGGAATCTCGGCCTGGAGTTTCCATGGTAACGCTGCCTGGTACACGGTGGAGCTGATATCTCTCACTGTGTTTCTGTGTCGTGTATTAGTATGTGTATCTGCTTCTGTTGCAGATTTGCATGTGGGGCCACAATTTCTTTGGCAGTGTGTTGTATCAGCGGTGATATTTAATGCCGCTAGAAAAGAGCGTTTCCTCCTCATCCGTCCACAACCCGCCCTATTTAATAAACTAACATCCAGCGAGTGAATAAACAGTCAATCCAACTGTTGACTAAACTAAACTGGAGATGTTGATGTGTGCCAGTGGGTTTATTGAACATCGGTTTTCTTTCTGTTTGCTGCTCTATTCATCTGAGAAACTGGTCTGCACAGGTTGCCATGGCAACAGCATGTGTGCAGTCTGCTCCCTACAAGGGATTCGCTCTCTCTGTCTTTCTCTGTGTCTCTCTGTCTCTCCCCCTCTCTCTCCCTCTCTCTATCTGGTGTCTTTGCTCTGCCCTTCACCCAGAGACATTTACTCCCGTGGGGTCTGACTAGACAAAAGCAGGAGATGATAATCATGCTAACATAGATGCTAATCAATGCTAAGACCCTTGATGCTTGACAGAGCATTGCTAATGGACCCCAGGGTTTTGTTAGAAAGCAATTAAATTCACTAAATTTCGAGTGATACTGTGATATCAGTCAGTTGTATCGGTGCTTTTTAATCAAATTTGACTGTAAACATCCCATATTTCTACATTTGCTTCTGTATTTTATTTATTTATTTATTTTACAAATATGAGAAACTGTTTAATGATGGTGTTTATTATGCAAAGGACGGTATTTTGGTTCTCATGATCACTGAACCCTGGATGCTAACCCAAAACAGTTACTTAGATCAACAGACTTACATGATGTGCTGTTAAGTGGCCCAGTGAAGGCAGAAATGTCGTTTGAGCAGATGGGAACACCCAAGAATGTTAGAATTTCACTTTTAATGAAGGATTGCAGGCTTTTCTGTATGTCTTTGTTGGTATATGGTGTATATTTGTGTATATGTGGTAGGGAATAGCTATACATAATTTTTCTTCTGTCACATTAGATTTAAAATTTAACAGACTTTGAGGCTGAAGCTCACCTTCAGCAGTAATAACATTTGGATGTGTTTACCTCTATATTGGGCAAACAGTTTAGTACACTTCGACCTCCATTATATCTATAGCACAACTGTTATAGGACAGTGCAGCAGGACTAGTGAGTCTGTGCATTTATTTTACTTGCTGCACAACAGACAGATTTAGAAAATCCGCCACAACAAGCCAGAGGCGAAAGATGGCTGCAGCACAGGGCTGGCAGCGGTTCATCAGGCAAGATACCAAGTGTCTGCTGACGTCTGTAGGTTGAGGACTTAAGTTTTTTGTTGACTGTAAAGGATTTATTGACCAGCTGTAAACATGATGACTCTCTGTAGAGTTGGAGTAAATTTGTCTAGACGTTTTGGATCATACAACTGCTCTTGTTTTCTTCACAGTACAGTGAACATTTGTAAATACTAAATGTAAATTAAGCATTCAGATGCTTTCAAATACAGCCCCTTTAACAGTTAACCGGTTAAGTTCATGCAAAGACGTGCAGTAAACAAGAAAAAGGATCGAATTAATATTTGGAGGGACCACCCTGTGCCTTCGAACCGGCCCCAGTCCCAACTGCTTCCGTCATTTCATACTGACATGATGATGCTGAGATCAAGGAACTGTGGGGACCAAACCATATCATTCATTCTGTCATTTCAAACCCAGCAGCAAAGTAATCTAAATCATGTCATTGTCCACATACTCGCAGACTGCACTGTGTGTGTGTCTGTGTGTGTGTTTGTGTGTGAGAGAGAGAGGAGGAGGGTCAAGGCCTCAGATGGAGGGGTGTGGTTCACCCCCTACCCTCCCAATCATCACCCCCCCTCTTTGATCATTGCTCCATCATCCTTTGTTCTTTTGTGTGTGTGGAGACACTGAATACTTGAATGTGTTTTCATCTGACAGGTAAATGTAGCAACAGAAAAAGTGTGTCAAGAGCCTGTTGACTATTGTGTGTACGAGTGAGTGAAAGAGGATGTGAGAGGCTGGAGTTTGTGTGTTGTCAATGGTAATGAGTTTAGGTTAGCTGGTCTGGCAGGGACACCGAGAAGCCCTGTTAATATTCCTGGGGTGTCTGTATGTGTGTGTCTCCCTTTCTCTCCCATCACGCACACGCATTCAAAGGCCTGCCTCCGCCTCCGCACTGGCTGCAACACCATGATGTCACCTCTCGTCTGATTGGCTGTGAGGCTGCTAAGAGAAGGAGGAGAGAGGCTGGGAGAGGGAGAGGGAGGGATGGAAGATAGAGAGGAGTGAAAGAAAATGCCGGCACTTGTATGGGTGGAGGGGTTTTCGGACCGCGATGTGAGGTGCGTGTGCGGGTGTGTGCATGCGCAGCCGTAGCCACACTATGAAGTGTGCGTGAGGTGTTTGTATCTCTGTTGGGGTACGGCTTGGAGAAGAGGGGGCACCCTGTTACCACGCCCTCCCAGAAGCATGAGGCGACTTATCTGCCAGCGGATCTGTGACTGTGAGTGCAGGGATGGATCTGGGTGTGTTGGTGTGTGTGTCAGCGACTGTTGTTTGTAAATGTCAGTTCACGATATACAACGTAAATGTGTTTACATGTCCACTGGACGTTTGCAAAGCCTGAAACAATAGGCTTTCCAATGGTATTGAAAAGGGTGTCTCATATGTACACACTTGCATGGCTGGTATTGATTTTTCATGTTTACTCCGTGTGTGTAGGTAAGTTGATGTATGAGTCAAGGTGTAGGGTGGTGGCTTTGGCGCATTTCTTCATGGCTGGTTGTCAGAGCGACCAGAGCGCAACTGCATTCCTATGCCAACAGTTTGATCTCCACCGTCGACTTGTGTGTGTGTGTGTGTGTGTGTGTGTGTTTGTGTCCTCACATATCATCCTCCACAAGTGTTTTGCTGGTAGATGCACGTTCCAAAAGCTGCACCATTGTTGCAAACCTGTCTCAAGTTTCAATGCTAGCTTTCCAGCTAGCATGATTTCTGCTAGCATGCAGAATGATGCTTTGGCATCCAGAGAGTTCTGTCAATCACCGGCTGTGGAGTTGGACATCTTGATCATTCGGCTGTTTTTGGTCTCTCTCAGAACTGGTTATATGTCTGTGTGGGTTTGCTTTTTTTTTTTCCGCCCGTACCAGCAGAGTGTTTGTAATGAGTATTGATTTAGTGATTCCTGACTTGGCTGTCTGTAGCCTACAACCTCTTTGTGCGTTGTTTCTCATCTTTACTTGGGCCTTAAGCTCTTTATAGTCAACATTAAAAGGACAAACGTGTGTGTTTAAAGATTTCAATGATTAAAGAATGACTGTTTATACAAAGCTCAATATTGTATTTGTTCATGAGAGTAGAGTAATTGTGATTATCTGAGGTGAATCTTCAGTTGTGGCTCTGTACTTGCTAGTACTGTATTAGTGAAAGATTTCTTGTACATTATGAATAAATTAAATATAGGTTCCCTTCTGTTTAGAATATGTAGGGTGTATTTTTGGAGATTTTCCATATTGTGTAAAGTCATTCATAACTGTTTTACTATTCTGTATGCACTAACATTATTACTGTTTTCTAAAACTTTGTACAAAGTTTGGTGTGGATGGTCACACTCAACTCTTTATCCTCTCCTTTCAGATCGTAGTTTCGAAGATGATGATAGTGTGGATGGAAATCGCTCTTCCTCAGCCCAGGCTGCCTTCAAGGTTCCCAAAGTTCCCAAGAAGCCTGCAGAGTCCTCCGCTGCACGCAGGCCCAGCGCTACTGGTGGCAAACTAGGTATTTAATTTCCTTTTGCAGACACACTTAATGCAGATCCACAGCTAATTTATTGCATTCAAGTTGGGAGAACACATTTCTGTCGCTCGAGACAGGCTTTCACCACACACTCATGTCTAGTGGCTCATCTAGGCTTGTGACAAATCACAAGTATGTGTATCATTACAATTGGCCAGCCCTATCTTTAACTACGTGGAAGTTACTACATAGCATACTGAATTCCAAAATATATAAATAACAGTCCAACTGACAAGTACCCATTGATCACCATAGTTAGACGTCATTGTCTTTGATTAATGAAACACGATACTTCTGTTACTGCAACCTTAGCAAGACGTGAGCTGTCCTGCTGTGTTGGTGCCTGTAGGATTTCACGTCTGTCACTTTTGTCAAATTAGGAGATACATTTTTATCAATATTTCCCCACTCTCATGTTGCAATTTGAAACTGTGTGTTGATTTGTGATCTGAATCTGAAATAGGCCCAGTCCACATGTCCGTACCCTCGTAGTTTTTGCCTGTTGCCTAAACATGTGTGAAACAATGTACGTACCTAATTTTACCTGCATTGTTTCATGTGTAGGGAAAAAAATGTTGCCTACTAACCCTAATTTTCCTGAGAAAGATCATTCGTAATAGGTCAGGGGTTTGTAGGACGATAAACAATTGGTGTTCACACTGTAAGAACAATGACTCCGGGAGCTATTTGAAGAAGCAAAAGACCTCAGTTAGCACGCTATAGTCCACAGTAACAGACTCCCTTTGTGTTTTATCAGAAATCTGATACACTCCCATCTGATTCACTTATCAGTCTTGTATCTGTATTCGACTCAGGGCTTCGGATCTACCTTTTGAAATAGTTTATTTCATCCTTTCTCTTGCATTCTCCTCCTCTCCGTCAAGACTTCCTCCTGTTGTAGCTGGTTGGGGTATTGTGTTTGCTCCCTCTTTGCATGTATTGATCTTTCCCATCCTTCTTTCTGTCGATTGAAAGCTGTGTTCCCACGAACATGCAGCAGTTTCCTGCTGCCTGCTGATGTATCTGTGTCAGCAATGTCACACATAGACACATACATGCACAGCCGTGTCTTACATGCAAGCAGTCTGTCTGAGTCCTGATGCATCGCTCTGTTGTTGGTTGGTAACACAAGACTGTGATCCCTTGTCACTTGGATCATTACGGTCTTATTGATTGTGAAGCGGCTGTGAGAGGCTTAATGAAGGGCGTTCTGTATATTTTACACTCACACGACTACAGCTTTAAAACTTGTATCTTGTTAAGTGTGATATGAAGGAAAAGACCTGCGTTGAACTTTGTCACAGATTTTCAATATTCGGTAATTTCCAACACTGTCTACGTGGACGTTGTAGCATTAGCAACATGTTAGCGGAGCGGCAGCAGCAGCTATGGCAACAATCACAAAAGGCATTAAGTTATCCAGGTTTTGGGAGCACTCAGAGTCCTACTAACTAAGTCACGTAGGTTGAACTTGAATTGAGGTTGTGTATATCTGTGCGTAGATCTAATAAAGCACAAGCTAGTGCAACACTGCATTAACAAGTGTATTGATTCAAATGACAACGAGACATGCATGAGATAAGACATCTGAAACATTTTCTGTATAGCCTTAAGGCATAGCAGCTGTAAACATTATCTGCCAATTAGATTTATTTATTTATTTATGTTTTTGTCTGATTTTTCATGTGCTATATGAAAATCGTTTCCATCATGGCTTTATTGTCTGCATTTGCATTTAGACGACAGTACGCCCACACACTCTGGCACACCCAAAAACAACACACAGCCAAAAGACCAATATTTCAATTTGACGATAACTCACTGTATTAAAAAACTGTATCTGGAAGGATCAGGCACCTTGGTGAAATTTCTCTCAAAGGCCAAGACAGTTGCTTTATGCCAAAGCAAGATTATGTTTTTCCACACAACAGGATGGGCGTCATAATCTGTTTACACACACACAATACCATAATGCTTTAATGCAGCCATAACTGCTCACTCTGACAACATGCTGGGAACCCTCCAATTTCATAAAACTGCAATAAAAATAATTGGAAACGGTGATCGTGGTCAGGCCGTTATTCCCTGAGAGTTAAAGGGGACAGTGCCTACAGCTAACCAGCGGTCGACATCGATGTTCCCCAGCTCTCTAAGGACCATGCAGAGTTTTGACAAGACATGTCTTTGTGGTACAGTCTGATATGGAAACCTGGACCTCAGGGTAAAGGAGGAAAGGATACATTTTTTCTGCCTCATTCTCTGTTTATGCCCAGCTATCCTCCTCCATGTACAGCTACTGTTTCCCCTCCTTTTCTCCTGTGAATATCTCCTGTCTGGTTCCTCTCACTGTTTTAATATTCTTGTGCTCTTGGATTGCTCTCAGCTCCTTCTTGCTTGCCTCATATTCCCTTTTCTCTCTCTTTGTCTTGTATCTGCAACCTCTCTCTGCCTCCCTGGGTAGGAGTTGTAGGAGGTGTGGTCCACAGAGCTTCCAGCCCCCAGAGAGTTATGATTGACATGCCCATTACTGCCAGGAAGTCCATTAGAAATACAGTCTGCTCCCACTGACTTAAGTGTGTGTCGCATGTGCGTATGTGTAATTGGAAGTAGGCCTGTTTCTTTGGAGTGAAACCAGAATTACAGAAACTAGCCAGCACTTAAATCCCTAACCTTTCCCACACAGCAGTCCAGTTAATAGTATCCGTGTCCACCTACTCCTTGTTTAAAGAGCGTTATTCACTCTCTGGTGTAGAATTTGTTGTAAAAAATGTAGGTTTTCAAACATGGTGATGGGACAAGTACACTTATAATATTTTAAAACTTTCCAAGTCCAAGGTTGTTTGTTTTGGCTTTATAATTGCAGAGCTGTGATTGATTGGTTATGGCTGTTTTTTCCTGAAATAAAATCGCAGCCAGTATTATAAATGCACACACACACACGCGCACAAATATAAAAATTGACTTGGCTCTGATTTTTTTTTTTTTTCAGTGTCCAAGGAAAGTGCCGGGGCAGTTGATGAAGAGGATTTCATTAAAGCCTTTACAGATGTCCCTACTGTCCAGGTACAACACACAGAGGAGCTTAAATGCAGACAATCACACACATTCGTCCCATTTAATCATTTAACTTCACTCAGCAAGGGCCATCAAGGCCAGGCTGTGTGGGACTTTTTACAGCCCTTGACATATTTGCTCTGCTCCTCCCCACTCTTTCCCTTCACCATCTCTGCACAGATCTACTCATCAAGGGACCTTGAGGACAACCTGAATAAGATCCGCGAGATCTGCTCCGATGACAAACACGACTGGGACCAGAGAGCCAACGCTGTCAGTAGATTCTCCTCCAGGAGTTTCTTTAGCTCAGTTGTAGCATTACTATAATCTACACAGACACTACAGTGATGAGTTTCCTTTATTTTGATCTTGAGTGTTTTATTTTTTGTTTTTTACAGCTGAAGAAAATCCGCTCGCTGTTGGTGGCAGGCGCGCCGAGCTACGATTGTTTTTACCAGCACCTAAGGCTACTAGATGGAGCCTTCAAACTGTCCGCTAAAGACCTGCGCTCACAAGTGGTCCGAGAGGCCTGTATCACTGTGGCGTGAGTACTGAAACACTCTTCACTGAAGGGAAATTTCACCAAATATAGAAGAGGAGGTCTACTCTATTCAGCATTTGTCGTCAGCTGATGGGTTGTCTGGGTTCCAAACATAGCTTTTCACACTGGCAGCACAAATTTGAAGGGGCATGTGAATGTTTCCGTAGCTGGTGTGTGAATTTTTCTGATACAGTGTCAGGAATCAGATTTTTGCCAATTTCAAACAAAAATTGGAAAGAGGAAAAAACTCACTGATGGCAAAAGAAAATAATTTAAAAGAAAAACTGGTGGTTCAACTGCGAGAAAGACATCAGGCAGTTCACACGAGAAGCATTTATCTCACTGAAATTCTTCTTTTTGTTTGATATTTAAGAACTTCAGTTTGATTATATTTACACAAACCTAATTCCAGCATAGTACATATTGTAGACATCAAATGCCACGTGCCTGTAAAATAAGCTAAACTTCTGATTTATGCAAACTTTTTTGACTTTGACTCAGTTTTTATTGTGTTTTGATTCGCTGTGTATTCGCTGGTGTCTTCCTGCAGCCACCTCTCGTCAATATTGGGGAATAAGTTTGACCACGGGGCAGAAGCCATCGTTCCCGTCCTGTTTAATCTCATCCCCAACTGTGCCAAAGTCATGGCCACCTCTGGTGTGTCGGCTATCCGCATCATAATACGGGTGAGTTGTACAAGCACACGCTAAAGTAGTTTGAACAGTCTTGTTGGGATTCTTTGCGGTCAGTGGAAGCGCTGCTGTTTTTGTCTCGCATTTTCCACTCAATGCTACCTGCCCTCTCTGCAGCACACCCATGTTCCCAGGCTCATCCCCCTGATAACCAGCAACTGCACATCCAAGTCTGTGGCTGTAAGAAGGTGAGATTAACAATGTTGACGCCATGCTGATAAAAAGTCTCTAATAATGAACGGCTACAAGATGATACGATGCTGCTGCGAGGTAATGTTTTTTTGAGATGATGAGAATGATATAAGAAATGTGTTATCTCCAGGCGCTGTTATGATTTCTTGGACCTTCTGCTGCAGGAATGGCAAACCCACTCTCTGGAAAGGTGAGGACTGATTTCAGCATGTTTCAGAGCAAAACCGTGCCGTCTGATAAATGCAAAAACACAATCGCGTAGGATTCGCAGTATGAGCTGTACAAATGAAAAAAATTTGTTTCAGACCTGCTTGTTCACACTTTTTGAGCCTTTCTGTGTTTTTGTGTATCAGGCACACAGCAGTTCTGGTTGAGAGCATCAAAAAGGGAATTCGAGATGCCGACTCGGAGGCCAGAGTGGAGGCCCGCAAGTAAGACACACACACAAGCACACACACACGCATTTCTGAAAATTACATTATGTGAAACACGAGTAGTGCTAAATTCCTCGCCACCCTCCTTTTCCTTTTTTGAACCCCTTGATTTTTTTTTTCTTTTGCTCTATCCTTCATCATTTAACTACCTCCCTCCTTACCCATCTTTTATCGTCCTTTTCCAACTCTTGTCTTTCCCTCTAATCTGCTGTCTCTTTCAGAGCCTACTGGGGGCTGAGGAACCACTTTCCAGGAGAAGCCGACGCTCTCTACAACTCCTTGGAGTCGTCGTACCAAAGGACTCTTCAGTCCTGCCTGAGGAGCTCTGGCAGCGTGGCCTCACTTCCCCAGAGTGACCGCTCCTCTTCTTCCTCTCAAGAGAGCCTCAAGTAATCACCGCTCCTCCATAGTTCACTTCAGACCTCTAGGGTTACTTAAAGATGACATTTGAGCCTTTAAACTCACGATTGACGTCAGTTTGGCAAGACCCCATCTGTGGACTTGGGTATCCCTGGGAGGAACCATTGTAATACATAGATGAAATCTCCCCAGTTTACTCTCGTTTTGCTCCTCTTATCGCCCATTTTCTCAATTTCTCTGCTGTACAGATCAATAAAGGAATCAAAGTGACAGCCCATTTATCTTTAGAAGGGAAAAAAACCCCAGTAACTGCATATGCTAGTGTTAACACTTTGCAGAATTTAAGCAAATGCATTTGTGGAAGGTCGTTCAGGGAATTATATCCTCAGTTTATTCCAAGTATTTGGATTTGTCATGGTTTTTCCTTCTCTGTATTGAGTTTCACTGGCAAACTTCAGACCTATGCAGGCTTATATTAGAGCAAAGTAGAAAGATGTGTTTTCCTGCGACACTACACGACAACTTCTTATAGACATGCTCGTAGTAAATACTGTTTCATATATTGTCAAGTTCGTGGCTCACAATAAGCAGCATTACAGTGCTGACTAAAAATGTTCTAGTAATGAAAATTAATGATGACAAAGTGAATATTGTGCTAAAGATTTTTGTGATATGTGCAATTTTAAACCCTTTTTTTGTGAGAAAAAGACCAGTGGCACGTTATGTTCTAAAACTATTTATCATTTTAGATCACAGGTGTTTCCACAGAAGGACGGTGTAATCTGCGTAGTCTGTTTTGGATCAGACTTATTTCATTCAGCAGTCTGTTTCTGTTTACATTTGAAGGGGATTTACTTGCTCAATTCGTAGGCAGAGTAATTCAATTGAATACCTCACCAAAAATTATTTAAATGTTTATATGTCGTCACTGAGGGAGAAATAACTTTGAAATATTTTTGTTCTCATGATCAAGCACTATAACATCAAGAGTGATTTTTATGTGTGCTGTTTTGTTTTTTTCTCTCCTGTTCTGACCTACTTTTCTCCCTCTTTCATCAGTCGGCCTCTGTCCTCGAAATGGTCAGCAGCTCCAGGGCGAGGTGAGTCAAGCAAACACAAACACATACGCACACCCACACAAACAAACACACTCGCACAGAGCGGCCGATACACATGCGAGCTTTTCTCCAACACATAATCTCATGTTCACTCACTCCTGTGGTGAAACGCATACACCGAGACAAACATCAGCCCCTACAAAACCATTTCCCATCATTCTCATCGACATCTGCCCATGTCCAGCCCCTGGACAAGTCACATCCTGTTCTGTTTTTGTTACCACACACATGTGGGCAAACACATGTGTCTGGCTATTTGTGTTTTTGTTTTTGTTTTTTTTTCTGTATGGTATCGATATTGTGTACGTGTAGTATGGTTCCTGCATGTGTTTGTGATGTGTATATATATATATCCCATCACCTCCCATCCCTTCTCCAACACGCTCCTCCTGTCCTATCAGTCCCTGCGGGTTCAAAGGGTGGGCTGTCGTCGGCCTCCCTGCAGCGTTCCCGTAGCGACGTGGATGTAAACGCAGCAGCGGTTGCTAAGAGCCGGCACGTCGGAACAGCCGGGAGAGCGGGCCGCCTGCCCCCTGGCTCCTACTCCTCACTGGGTAAGGGCCCTGTCAGTCAAGCTAGACGACTAATCAAAGAGCGCAGACGTCGGTCAGCATGTGGTCAGCAGGAAGTCAGGCAGAGATGAGGACTCAGTCTAAAGAGTTGCCTCAGATCAGTGCAGAGCTTCTAAACTTTCTGACAGGTTGAAGTAAAAAAAGAAAAAGTTCGCAGCTACATAGCAGTCCGTAAGGATGGACGTACGCACTCACACACTCCAGCGCTTCTACTCTCCTTTCTCCTCTCCTGCTGCCTGCTCCGTCACCTGTGTCTATGTTTTGGTGTGGATATTCTCTGTGCATGCTCTGTAGATGAATATCGTTTGTCTCTTGTGTTTTGATGTTGATCCTACGTCTGCATGTTTTCTCTGTCAAACAGATCTTATGTTACTAATGCACACTGTGCTCCTTTCTTCTCTTGTTTCTCTTCTATCTGCCTTTTTTCTCCTCTCTGCCTTTCACTTGTTTTCTTCTTTCATACTTTTGTTTCTTCTTCTTAACACTTTCTGTTCACAATCTTTTTTTCCCTTTCTATTTTTCTTTTTTGTAATTCATGTTCCTTCTTTGGGTTCCTTTTGTATTCCTCTCCTCTCCTTTCCTTTCCTTTTCGTGTATATAATTTCTGTACATTTTTTGTTGTTTGGTTTTCTGTCATTTCTCTCCTCCATCCTCTCTCTCTCTCTCTATTTGCAACTTAAGATGATGCCTCTGATAAAACGGATGGTAAGATCATCTCACTCTGCTTCTTCTCCTTTTCTTTTCCTTCCTCACTTCATTCCAGTCCACGTTCACTCAGTCGCGACAGCGTGTGGCCACAGCGCCCCCTGCTGTCAGCCTGACATCATTGATATCACAGTGCTCCTCATCACATCATGAATCAAATATTAACACATCTAAAATCATCTTCTGCTTTACTACAGTTTAACCTTATTTTAAAAAGTGATATAACCATCTACACCTGCATCATTCAGTCGATAAGGTTCTATTAGTATATTCAGGATGTCTTGTTTGAGTGTTATACATATAGTAGGCGAAATGTGATAAATGTGTTACAACATGCTCCTTTTTTGTCTGTCTGTAGGGACCAGATCAGACAATGGTAAGACTGTGGTTAGGTGGATGTTTGTGTGTGTATTTTAGGGATGTTCTGGTTGGAAATTTCACTTCAGCTTCTAAGTTTTACCATCACTGATCCAACAGATGCTTATAAGCAAAAACAGTGATGGAAGAATGACTTTGAACATCTTTTATGCTGAAGTGAATGCTACAAATGAGTTGGGTTAAGCTGATTAACTGATCAGTGGGAGATTAGTTTGTCAGTAAAACATTTTTTCCTGCTTTGTTCACCCACTCATTGACTCTCAGATGCATCCAATGGCTTCTAGTGTTCAAATTCTTCAAATACTTGGAGATGACTGGCTACTACTGGTTTTTAGATCTTAAGTATTTCCTTGCTAAGGCTGGTTTCTAATCCACTGAAGCATCCCTGGTGTATTTATCTGTGTTTGGGCCTGGCTGGATGTGAATGTTTGGTGTAAGACCTAACCGTTCAGCAGCTTCCAGTATTAGTGGCTTTTCATCAGCTGTAGTGCTTCTTAGTTTCTGGGCTTCATTCAGCGGCTAGCGACTAGATATGTTAGCAGAGGAACTATAGCTGTGTGTTTCTGTATTTTTACTGTCGTCCCTTCGCTCACATGCAGGCCGTGTACGCACCAAGCAGCCCTTGTCTACTGCCAGCAGCGTGTCCAGCCAGGTGGACTCACGAGGACGCAGCCGCACCAAGATGGTCTCCCAGTCGCAACGTACGTATCTCCTCACTTCAACCCAACACAGAGCATGATATAACCCAGCCATGAGTGAAGCATTCTGGGTGTCAAATCCACTTCCAACATTGCACAGAACAAATACTCTAGCAACAGAAATGGTGTGTGTGTGTGCGCACTTGTTGGCACGGTTGTGGTTTCTCAGGCTCTTTCTTAACTTGTAGCCTTTACGGCGACGATAAGCTCCATGTAAATGTTTTTGTGCCTTCAGGTTCCGACGAATCCGATTGCACACCAGGTATTCTGTCTTGTGTGTCAGAGTCAGAGTGTGCTCGTCTTTCTGTGTACCACAGTGGGAATGGTGACCCACCTGCTATTGCTCTCATTCTGATCAAGGTGTTTTTTTGTGTAAAGAGGAGTGAGTGTGTGTGATGTGTGTGTTTTTTCTCTGCATGCTGTGTCTCATCACTGAGGATGGTGTGGTGAACAGGTTAGATTCACTGCTCCAGCTTGGCTCTGGCTAGCATTAGTTACTTTAAAAAAAAAAATACTGCAACATGCAAAAATAAAAAGTTACAACACACACAGCAGATTGTGTGTGTTTCTGCTCTCCAAGGCTACTTACTGCTAATATGCTGCTTGCGGCCGGCTTGGAGACCAGTTTAAAAGTGGACAGTGATTGGGTCACAACAAGTGCACCGTCACATCTAGATATTTTAGGACCAAACGCAAGTTCTCTCATTAAAAGTTCAAAGCCCGAATCTCAGGATGAGGGATTAACAGAAGAAAGGAAATGGGGTTAGAAAGATTTCCACATGTATATGTGTGTGTGAGAGAGAGACAGAGAGGGTACAGACATTTTTGAGCATATTTACTTTGAAGCATTTTCTTTTCCTCATTGTGAACAGGCTTTGGTGTGCACATATGCAGTCGTCCCAACATGCACTGCTTTTCCCAGTCTATCATCTGCAGCTGGTTCAGTGTATGTCTGTGTTTTAGCTACATTTCAGTTCTTGTTTTTTCTCTTTAATTAATGGGTTTATTTAAGCAAGTTGCTTCAGCTTCGCCTTCATTCTTGGTATGGAACTCCAGGATGTGCTCCCATCGTACTCTGCTTTCCAACTCCCATGACGCTTTTTTGCGCTAACCCATAATTCATCTGGTTTAATCTGCTGTTCCTTCCCCCCTCACCTCTGCTTCCCCCCCCTCCTCCCAACCAATGGGCTTAATGGCTCAGGATCTCAGTCTGCTACCCCTGTTGGTGGTAAGATTACAACGCTACTTCTTTTTACCCCGCTCTCTTTAGCTTTACTTGCCTTTTCCTCTGTTGCCCAAACTTTCCTCTCTTCACGTGCACGCAGAAAGGTCACTTAAAGTTCCTCCCACTGTGGCTAAGGCATGCTGGGATTTGTAGTCACAGACTTGTAACACGGCTGTTCTATGGTCATGCTGAATACACTGCTTTGGGAGCCTCATGTTTTTGCACTCCTATGTGTGCCTGGATTTAGCCGAAAGATTGCGGAGAGGATTCTTTTCCTGACATCCCAACAAAAAAATTTGGACCATATTGTAGTTTGTTTGGGGGTAATAATCACTTTTACGTAGTTCACTATCCAATCAGAAGTTGCAAAAATTTTGACTTTTGTTTGCTCACAGGAATGTATCGATTCCATATTAGCTTGGGGTACTTGTAAATAAAAGAGTCGAGGGATAAAAGGAAGGCAGAGTTCAGAAAAGCTGAACAAAAAAACAAAAAATGTGATCTTCACCGTTATGAATCATGTGCTACTGTATGTCTATTAGGTTTCATCTCAAGATCCCCTTAGTAGCACAACAATATCGCTTTAGCTCTGTCTTTGTCATATAGAAGCATTTTGTTTAGCTGTGTGTTGCTAGCACATAGACATAGACTCCGGTGTGTCGTGTTGAGAGTGTGTGTGGATTTAGACGAGTTTGTGTCTGTCACTGCAAGAAAGAGAGAGTCTGGTCTGCGTGCTCATTGTCAGTCACGGTGAAATCAATTTAAGTCCAACTTTATATGCTGAGCACTGGAACTTGTTCCCCAAACCACTGTTCATACAATAACTTACAGCACTGCAGAGCAGCTTCTCCTCAGCTGTTTGTCTTCAGGTTAACAGTAATTTGGGTCATTGTAGAATAAGACACACTGTAGACTTAGCACCTGGAGACAGGATACCATGGGGGAGAGAAAATGAGACTGTTCTCCAGTTTTCTAGGCAATAACTTTGGACAAAAATCTGTTATTAATAATATTCCACTACCTTTAAAAAGTCAGGAGAGCTGCCTGCAAATTTGGCATCATGTCGTCAAGCTTTCACCTAATTTATTTTTTTCATGTGTTTATATGACTTAAGTAAGTTGTAGCTCTCCGAGCCCCAGGAATCCTTTTTCCAATAATATCAAACACAGTGATGTTTGACATTATTTAACATACAAGCTGTAATGTACATGACCAAAATGTGCTTGGAAACCACTTAGTGATGGGCAGTAGCAGCTGCCTTTGCTATTTGTTATAAATACAAAACAACCTTTTCTTTTCTTTTCTTTTTTAAGTATAAGGGTGTCACATTAAAGTAGGATTGGTTATTTGTCCCTACAGCTTTCATTGTTAATTGTCATCTGCTGCGTGAACAAGGCTTTGACTTTACTTTGCTCTCTCTCTGTTTTGTCCTCTTCTCTTTCTGCACCTCTGTGAAGCCGGCAGTCGGAGCGGCTCGCCGGGTCGTGTGCTGACGAGTACGGCCCTGAGCACCATGAGCTCCGGGGCCCACAGGGTGCTGGCTACACCCAGCGGGGATGGACACAGACGCAGCCGCATCCCACGCAGCCAGGGCTGCTCCAGAGACTCGTCTCCTACCCGCCTGTCTGTTGGTGAGTACATGAACTCCAGGTTAAACCCACAAAATGATTTCATGTAATTCCTGCTCGACGGTGATATGATGCTTTGTGTCTATAAACTCAGATGAACTCGTCCAACGTTCTGTGCCTTGGATGCACTATGATACCCTGTAAGCTAGGATCTCAACTTAACTTTTTTTCCTCCTGCTCCCTGTCCATCTCCTCTTCCTCTGTTCCTTCCTCCCCGCCCCTTCGGCTCCTGTCCTCTAGCTCCTTCTAGCATTAGTTCCATCTACAACGGAGCAAGCAGAGGAGGTAAGGCTTCGACCTCGACCAGATCACCTCGGTATCCATCTCTCCACCTAAAACTATCATCCTCATTTTCCCTCTTCTACTTCAAATCATCCCTCCATCCCTCATTCTTCATCTCCATCCACCACTACAAATCTCTCAATCCCCCGTGCCGAGTCCCATCAAGCCGTTGCTCGCTGCCTGAGCTTCATAGATCCCATCTTTCTAACTCGTGTCTGACCTCATGTTGTGGCAATGGGTGCCCGTGATCTACACATGCCCACACATTACGAACGTACCTTCTCCCTCTCTTTACTAATCTGTTGTCGGTGGCCGGTAAAGACGCATTCTCGCAGGATCAGCAAAGCTTCATCACTACTTTGTTGCCCTTTGGTAGGCCGTGATTAACCCTGATTGGCTGCATAGACGCTGAAGCTGATGAACAGAGCAATGAACATGGAAGTTGATTGCGGTGCTACTGGATGAAACACAGCTTCTCCCCCTCACCCACCCCTTGAATGCTAAATCCACCTCTAATCATTTCCTTTTCTATTCTGTGTGTATGTGAGCGTGCGTGTGTGCAAAAAAAAAAAAGAGATGCAGCGTGCACTCCTGTGTGTATGTGAAGAAGACTGTTGAGTCCAGCAGTCCTGTGCTCCTTTTGGGAGCATCTCAACTAAAGCTGAAACAGTTGGTCCAACAAATCTTCAGCAGTTTATGATAACTGATGAGTTCAAGTTAATTAATTTTGTTCATTTTACCATTCACTGGTTCTAGCTACTAGCAATCAACCAGTATTCCTAAATCTTTTGAGCAAACACTTGTAAGTTCTAATGTGATGATTTACAAATGTTCTCTGTTGATCTGCTGGCCAGACAAACCAAGAAATTTGAAGATATTAGATTCTAGAAAGTTGAAATGGTGATCATGTTTTTTGCTATTTTATCCATCCATCCATCCATCCATCCATCCATTATCTATACACCGCTTAATCCTCACTAGGGTCGTGGGGGGCTGGAGTCTATTCCCTTAGGGCGAAGGCAGGGGACACCCTGGACAGGTCGCCAGTCTATCACAGAGCTACACTTTGAGACAGACAACCAAGCACACTCACATTCACACCTACAGACAATTTAGAATCACCAATTAACCTCAACATGTTTTTGGACTGTGTGGGAGGAAGCCGGAGAACCCGGAGAGAACCCACGCTGCACGGGGAGAACATGCAAACTCCACGCAGAAAGATCCTGGGTGTCCTCACCGGGACGCGAACTGGCGACCTTTTTGCTGCGAGGCAGCGGTGCTAACCACCGATCCACCCTGCAGCCCTCGCTATTTTATGACGACTGAACAACTCATTAATTTAACAAGATAATATGAGTTGATTAACCCTCTAAACAACCCGGTGGGCATGTTATCTTGAAAAAAATTGCCAAAACTACATAATTTATCAAAGATGTTCAACTTTCTAATTCTTATTCTGGACAAAAGAAATGTTTCAGCTTCCTTTGCTTGCACTGTTTCCACTGAGGACTTTTTATTGTAGTTCAAAATGAGCCCACACTCAGTAACAATTAGACAGGAGCAAAAAGTGCTCAGAAACTGTTGTTGTTGCTGTTCAGAAGATTAATCAGGACTGAAAATAATCACTAGTCACAGCACTGTTTAAGAACTAGCAAGCAGTACAATGTCTGGGAATTATTCTTGGTTGCAGACCTACTCTCAGTTTGTTGAGGTGGCTTCTGTTGAGATGCTCCCTCAGGGCCACTGGACCTCTATTCATATTTGTCAGTTTGTCACTTTTGCCTGTTCTTTCTTATTTATGTCTTTATCCGTGTACTCCTTTCACTTCTTTGTCACTGCTCATGTTTGTCTTTTCTTCTTTGTTTTTTTTTTTTGTCTTCTTTATGTCCTTACTACCACTTTTCCCCCCTCTGCTGCTCTTTCTTTTCCCTTTATTCCCCCCCCTCCACTTTTCCTGCCCTGCGATGTGCGGTTCTAACCTGGGTGGCGTTAGCTCGGGGCAGTCGTATCCCTCGGCCCAGTATGAGTCAGGGCTGCAGCAGAGAGGCCAGCAGGGAGAGCAGCCGGGACACCAGCCCCGTACGCTCCTTCACGCCCCTTGGTGAGTAGCAGTAGTGGACAGATGCCCAGGAGGGATGAGTAGTAAAATCAGGATGAGTCAGCCAACAGAGGAGAGTCTCTGTATTGACGCCTTTCTTTCATGCATGAAGTTACTCTTTGATTTTTAGATTTGGTTTTTATCCACTTGCAATACAACGGCTGATAAATCTCAACAGTTTAAAAAGTAGGAAAACGACTTGCATGGGTTCACATGTTTTTCTGCCTTTCATTCTATTCTCACACTCTACTCGATCAGTGTGAGGTTCATGCGTGTGCCTTTTTGTGTGTGTGTGTGTGTTTTAATCTTGGTTGCAGCAACACGGAGCTACTCTCGCTCCACCGGAGCTCTCCACACACCTGACGCTTTTGGGGCTGCAGGTGAAGGCTGAGTACATCTATTTCTCTGTACCTCACCCACCCACCCACTTCGTCTTGATTTTTATTTATTTTTTTGCTTATTCCGTTTTCTTTTTGTTCTCTTTAGTGCCCGTCATCCTGTTTCTTTTCCATCAGCCTCAGTTGTATTTTTTTTTTTTTACATTCTGCTCCGGGATGTCGAACGCTCCAGTGGAATCGCATGCTTCCGCCTGTTCAGTTGCCAGTTGATAACCGTTCTGCTGGTTTTTATACCAGTGCCCCTTTGCTTTCTTTGTTCAGCACTTCTCTGCGGGGGACACCAACGTGCTCTCCTGCCTTTTATGTCGATCATACTTTTTTCTCCCCCAGTGGCACCTACAATGTCGCCTTAACACGTCATCACATCAACTTACAGGATTGTCTCGTGGGGGAAATGTAGCGTGCGTGTCTGTGTGACTTGAGTAAATGTCAGAGAACGGATGATGAGGAGAGTGAGATGCTTGGATTGTGGATCGACCGTGGACAAGTGAGAGACAACTTGCTGACTGGGGGAGACAGTTTGCAGAATTGACTTTTATTCTGAACTATGGTTAACATGTTTGTTGTCCTTCTGTCCATCCTTTCCCTCTTCGCAACTACCTCTCTCTCTGTCTGCAGGATCAGGTTTTGGCATCAGTCAGTCTAGTCGTCTTTCTTCTTCAGTCAGTGCCATGAGGGTCCTCAACACTGGCTCAGATGTAGAAGAGGCACTCGCAGATGCACTGGTATGAAAACATTCCCACAGAAGTAGCAAAAAAAAAGAAAAGAAAACAGTTAGTGCACTTTCCAGTAAGCTGTCACCATGTGCAGCTCACATCTCCTAGAGTGTGTGTCTGTGTGTTAACTAAACCCTGGTTCTACCTCTGTTTAACGCTGTCAGCTGTTGGGAGACATGAGATCTAAGGTCAGCTCCTTCTCCCGCCTCTTACCTGTGTGTTGTTTGTGGGTGTGTTTAGCTGTGTTTGTGTTCAATCAAGAAGTGCCAATGCATGCTTTCTCCCTCGTTGTCTGGTGATTTTTTTAACTTTTTGAAACTTTTATTTCAGTTTAATTTCATGTTGTTTCCGTTTCACCTGCAGAAGAAGCCAGCACGGCGGCGGTATGAGAACTACGGCATGTATTCTGACGACGATGCCAACAGCGACGCATCCAGCGCCTGTTCAGAGAGGTCTTACAGCTCCAGGAATGGGGGAGCCATCCCCACCTACATGAGACAGACAGAAGATGTGGCTGAGGTAAGCCAAAACAGCAGCGAAAAAGAGAAAAAACAGTTATTAAAAAAAAATAAATAAATACTGTGCCAGACAGCAGTTGAATTTCCTAAGATAGAAACAAAAGCACAATTAAAGTTAATCTTATCTTTTATCCAGACAACTTTTAAGCTCAACCGTTGTCTCTATTTACGGCTATGGCTTTGAGGAAAATGCAAAACTACTGTTAGCACTGCTGATCTGATACACCTTGGTTTAAAAATTCGATGCCATAATTGAGCTCCTAAATTAGGATTGCAGTCGATCTTGAGCGTTACAACTTTGAGGAAACTGGTGTCATTATTGCACGAATGTACTCACTGAGGTTTAGTCTGTCTTTGATATTAAGTTCAGCTTCGGTTCCATATTTGTGTTTTTTCCTTTAATCAAATCTGAAAACCACAAAAGCATGCCAACCAAGTATTAAGCTAAATATTTCTTCATCTCCTTTGTGTTTCTGTATTTGTGGTTCTTTCCAGGTGCTCAACCGCTGTGCCAGTGCCAACTGGTCCGAGAGAAAGGAAGGGCTATTGGGCCTACAGGCACTGCTCAAGAACCAGCGCACCCTCAGGTCAATGACTCAACAAGCGAGTGTATTTTCAAAGGATAAATTAGTTGCTCAGTTTCATCTAACTGTGACTTTTTGTGTCTGCAGTCGGGTAGAGTTGAAGAGGCTGTGTGAAATCTTCACCAGGATGTTTGCGGACCCTCACAGTAAGGTATGGATGCATGCAGCGCAAGTACTCGCACCAAGACACACTTTACATTATCATGGCACAAAAATCATTATTCATCCACTTTGAGTTTACTTTGGTTTCAAATACTTTGTTTATCCCACCATCCTTCACTGTACCGGATTCTGCCAGAACATGGAAAGTGTTTTATCGCTTTAATACGCACACACATGCACATTTCAACAGTCACAGGTTTTAATATGTAGTTTTTAAAACGAAATTTATGAATTAAAACGGGATAAACAGGTCAACATGCATTCTAAGATGTACGCACATGGATACACACACTCAAACTTAAACACAGGCATGCAGAGCGAGCAACGGATTGTTTTCTAACGGCATGACGCACCTGACTTTGCGTGTGACCTCACGCTCTCCGCCGTCCTGTGGGATTGCTCTGTCACTGTTCAGCAGCCAATCCACTCGCTGCGCTCTTTGCATTCACCGGCACCCCCCCTCTCTTTTCCCCCCGTCCCTACCTGCAGTCTGAAGCGACAACACTCACCGCTCACACACTCAAGTGCACTTAAACGAACGTACGCACACACATATTTGGGCTGCCAGCTCTTCTCTCTGACTAACCGGCTGCGGTTCGTCCTCTCTAACACTGCCACCTTCCTTTCGGCGTTTCGAGTGCTCCGTGTCCTCACACATGTCGTAAGGTGTGTGAGCTTGTCCCCTTCCCCCCCCTCGTTTGACGTTTGACGATTTGATGAATTTCAGCGAGACTCCGGCAGGGTGTACGGCACGGCAGAATCCGGTATAAGCTCAGCCTCCTTCAAGGTACTGCATCTCGCCATGGATCTCTCTCCTGCCTCAATCTGTCTGTCCCACACCACTCCTCTTCCTACTTCTTATTTGTCATCTCCGATGTTTCTCGACATTTATTTCATTTCTTTTTTTTGCCTCCTCAAATTCATCCCATGTTATGATGGTTGAAGGTCTTCAAATAATTTTGCAAATGTTGTGTTGAAAGCCAAGATGTCGTGTTTCCTCTCACACACTGAGTACATGCTTTGTCAGGATGCTAACAGATATGTGTCTCTCTCTCCCCCATGCCATCCCACTCTGGAACTCTCTGTAGAGAGTAAGTTTGGCCAATCACTCTGTTTAAACTTTGTGTTTGGATGAAAATCTGCTTCGTTAATCTAATTGGGTAATCAGTTACCAAGACAACAACATAACACTTACTAACCAACCTCACATATTGTTGCCCGTACCTCCACTGGCGTGCAGTGATGGTCACCACACAGCCTGACTGGTGTTTGTTAATTCTTGTCAAGTCTCATTCTGGTTGTCTTCTAATATTATTGTATTTTGGGTGATTTAAGTCTAACTGATGATTGGGAATTAATTGGGCTGCTACCGTGAATGAATAACCACTAATTTCCCAAAGAAAACTAATACTGCTCTTGCGTTCGTCCCATTTAAGCATTATCTGTATCCAACAGAATACTGTAAAATTCAGGGTTGCTTGTATGCATGCATGTATGTGTGTATGTGTGCATGAAGCTTTGTGTGAGATAATGACTAAGTCACTGTGTCTAATTTAAAATGTGTGTGTGTGTGTTTAGGTGTTCAGTATGTTCCTGGAGACGCTGGTAGATTTCATCCAGGTCCACAAGGACGACCTGCAGGACTGGTTGTTTGTCCTGCTTACACAGCTGCTGAAGAAGATGGGAGCAGATCTGCTGGGCTCCGTACAGGCCAAAGTTCAGAGAGCCCTGGACATCACAAGGTGGGTGTTACATGCAGACTCCAGAGCTCCAGACGACCTTTTTACATTGTTTGCACTGCTGCACCTAACTTTAAGTGTTAACTTTCTTTTTTTGTCTATTTCCATTTTCTTTGCTAAATGTATAAGCATATTTGGTAAATGATGCAAACAGATTGAAGGTGCAGACACATTTTTGCACATTTAACCTGATGATCTCCGACTTAAAGTTAGCACAGAGTAGCTCTTCTAATGCTATATTTTAAGCAGTACTAAATTGTATTGTCATTTCTGACTCTACTGCTTTGGTTTGCTACTGCCTGGTGCTAAAACACTCCAGGGAGGGTCTACTCTGCTAAACATGCACCTGTCATGAAAAAAAGAGTTGTTTTAGAGACGTTGTGCTTGTTAAAATGTTTCAATTCGGAACGTTGATGCTTCCACTCAACACCCATCCTTGTGGCGGTGATGCAGCATGACCGGTTCAGAGAATCTTGCAGTTTAGAGGGGAAGAGTGTAGCCCAGGTTGTTTTCTCAGGCGTTTTATGAACAGATGTTCCCTAAACACCTCACATGCAGACTGTCTTTAGTCACTACATTTTAATGGTGTTTTCTATGCATCTCATTTGCATCAGTTGATGCTACTAAGCAGCCCAATGACTCTTGTTCACATCAATTATTGCAGCATGGCAACAAGAACAGGCTTGTCATTTATAGACACACACAGAAAGACCTGTTAATGTCAGGGGCTCCCATGCAGCCACTAAAACTGTTTAGTCGGATTTGCCAGATCCAAGCCAAGTTAAAAATTAGTTTTTTATCCAAGGCTACCATCACTCTGCTGTGATAGCCATGTTTTCATGCCTGAAGCCAGCAGTGCACCACTAAGAACTGTCATATGCCACAATGTCAGCCGCTGTTTCAGTCTCTGCATTACAGGACATTTTGACAGTTCAAGTCTGTTATTTCAGCTGTTAGGATGAACGCTATCAATGAGTCGTTCTCTGCATTGCATTTTTTCTAATGTGAGAATTGCAGATGCATGTTGCAGGAGAACAAGTTGTAACATAAGTCATTGGTTTACTGTTTATCTCTGAGTTATGTTTCATGTGCACACACAAAGTGAAACGTGGATGTCTCTTGCAGAGAATCTTTCCCCAACGATCTCCAGTTTACGATCCTCATGAGGTTCACTGTGGACCAGACACAGACGCCCAACCTCAAGGTAAATGACAAGTTAATATAACGTATGTGTGTTTGTCTGTGAGAAAGCTGAGTGTGTCAGGGTCTGAGTATGGGAGTGGGTGTGAAGCATGCACATGAAGCTGGAAATCCAGGGATGCTGTAACCATGGTAACTGCTGTACTGATGTGACCCCATGCCTGCCAATGCTGGATCTGCGTCCCAAAACCCTGAATCCTGGGCTGTGATTGGACAGTGATTGATCAAGACACTCAACTGGCTTCCTCCAAGCTTTCCTCCTTTCACTCCTTATCCTTCCTATCTCAATTCCTGCTACTTCATTCCTCACTTCCTTGCTCTTCTTACCCTTTTATCTCCCTGACACTTTGCCTCCTCCCACACCTTTTCCTGCCTGATGTTTGAACCCTACTCTCACTCTTCCTTATCAGTTTGCCTCTCTCCCTTAACACTAGGCTTGGGCAATAAAAGGATATTACCAGCAATACACTTTCACTCTCTTGCTGCAAATATAATCTAAAAAGAAAACAACACTTGTGTCAAAGTTAAAACCAGATTTCTACAAATTTATGTCAGTTAAGTAAAAATATGAAATGTAAAATAAGTGATTGCATAAGTATCAATCCCCTTGAAAGTGACTCACTTAATTCAACACAGGTGCAGCTGTGTATTCAAAAGAACACCTGAAGCAACTCTGTGAAAAGCTTATTGAAAAGTATAAGTCAGGGGATGGATATAAAAAAATATCCCTGAATATAAATTGGGCTACAGTTAAATACATCATTCAGAAATGGAAGAAATATGGTTCACGCATAAATCTTCATAGAGCAGACTGTGCTCAACAAGTGAGTGACTGTGCAAGAAAGAGACAAGTGAGCGAGGTCACCAAGACACATATGACTCTTCTGAAGGAGTTACAAGCTTCAGTAGTTAAGATGGAAGAGCCTGTGCATAGATGAACTGTTGAATGTTCTACACCGGTCATATCTTCTGGGAGAGAGACGTCACTGTTGTAAAAAACATAGTAATTCTTAACTCTGAAGTTAACTGGAAGATGGTTCTTTGGTCTGATGGCACATGTTCACAAACGCACCATCCCCACTTTGAAGCATGGTGGTGGCAGCATCATGATGTGGGGATATTTCTCTATAGCAGGAGCTGGACGGCTGGTAAAGATAGAAGGTAAAATGAAGGCAGCAAAGTGTAGACAAATCCTGGCAGACAACTTGATGCAGTCTACAGGAGAACTTTCACTTGGAACTTAAATAGGAAGGAGATTTGTTTTCCAAATCTCAAAGCATACAGCCAAAGCTGCACAGAAATGGTTTAAAGGAAACAAGGTGAACGTTCAGAGCCCAGACCTCAATCCAGTTGTGCAGACTTGAAAAGGGCCGTTTATTCACGATCCCTGTGTAACCTGACAAGAGCCTGAGCAGTTTCACAAAAAGGAATGGGGTAAAACGGCGGTGTCCAGATGTGCGAGTCTGGTTGAGAGCTATCCGGCCGAAGGTGCCTCGACTAAATACAGCCTTGAAGGGTGAATAGTTATGCAGTCACTTACGTTTAACATTTTAAATAATTTACATTGTTTTGTAGAAATCAGTTTTCACTTTGACATAGAAGAGTCTGCTTTTGTAGTTTTTTGTCAACAAAGTAACATTTATTTGACCTTGATTCAATGTTAAAAAGCCAGTAGAGGAAAACGTCCAACCAGGGGTAAGTAAGGACTTTTTGTAGGAACTGTATATTCTAACTGCTGTCTGTAATATCAAGCATTGATAAAATATCCTGCAATAAGAAGTGGCTGTCTACAGTACAGATACAAAACTCCTACTCTGAGGCCGGAGGAAACTGCTAAATTTAGACATAAAAATGTTCGTACAGTTTTATCTGGCATATAGCCTGTTGCATCAGGCTGCAACAGTTTATTTCAGCAAACCCGGTATCACGGCTCTTAGCTGGCAGACACAACGGTATAGTTTATCAGCAGTGATTAAAAACACAGTGCAGTCCGGTTCAGTATCGCCTAAGCCTACGTTCCCATCCTTTTACTCCTCCTTAACTCTCCCAACCCTCCCTCCTGGTTCATCTTCCTTCTCCTCCCTTGTCTCCCCCCTGCCCTCCCCTGTCCTCGTCTCCCTGTCTCTCTCCGTTGATTGACGCGGTGCTTCTCCTCTCTCTTTCTGAAGCCTGTACGGAGCTCGTGTTGCGGGCGAGGGCGAGGCAGGGGAGGGTCCGGGGTAAAATTGTTCCCCCCGAGAGCGCGGCGCCACGCCTGCTCTCTAGACGAGCAGGCCGCAGCCTGGAGCCAGTCCTCCCAGGTCAGTGCGCTCCGGGGGGAGCAATTATATGGCGCGCTCGGTGCTGCTAAGTGATTTGGAGGAAGTTCTGGTCCTTGAGGTGCATATGTAGAGAGGCGGATGAGGAGAGAGAAATAGAGGAAAATCAGGCCAGGAGTCAGTTGTGGCGTTTCGGAGCCTGCGGTGAATGTTCATTTCTTGGTTCCTTTGTATTGTCATTCGTCATCACTTTTATGTTGTATAGTTTGTTTTCCTATGTTGTAAGCATGACAATGAATGCAGTTTGATCTTCTCTCACTGACTCATCGGATCATTTGGTTTTCAGACCTCCAAGAGATGCACAATCTGCTGTGGTTGTACATGCTGACTGTGAACATTGGTGGTCACTTCTTCATCTCTGTGTGTTTGCAGTTTTGTTGTTACTGTGTTTGTGTTTTTGCAGGTGAATATTGGTCATGCACTTTCATTGTTATCAGTCAACTCACTAATGGTTTGTACGAACATGTACGTTTGTGCTGCAGGTGAAGGTGGCTATTCTAAAGTACATAGAGACGCTGACGTTACAGATGGAAGCTCCAGACTTTGTGAACTCCAGTGAGACTCGGCTGGCTGTCTCTCGCATCATCACCTGGACGACTGAACCCAAGAGCTCTGATGTCAGAAAGGTACACACACACACACACACAGACACACACTGTCATACGTGTGTTTTCTACAGGTTTTCTGCATCAACAACAGTCATGTCAGCTAATTACATGCAACACTGTGTGAGATGGGTCTAATAAAAACTTGGTGTCAATCTGCAGCAGACTTTACGATATCAGTTTAGAGCATATTAGATTCCTGGATTTACAATGAGTTATATAACAGCATCATTAGTTTGTGTCATTCAACTAAGCTACTGACATGTTCAGATAATGCGTTCTTCTTTATCAGCGTCACACAAACTTTTTGTTTCCTTTCGCCTCCATTATTTTACTTTGTGTGTGTATTTTTTCCCTAAGTTTAATTCAAAAATCGCATATATGGTTTGTACGGCATAAAATCATCTTGTGTTCTGCTGTTTTGCGAACGTGTTTCGTAGCAGCTGCCACAATGTGACAATTTGGTCTCAAGTTTCTCACACTATCTTCATTTTGCCACAGCTTGTCTTTGGTTGCCAAAGCACCACATCAGCCATTAGTTGATGTCTCACAATGTCAAGATGTCACTTGACAACTCAAAAATGGCTTCAAGTGTCTCTGAAATGCGATGAGAGTAACAAATATGGGAAATAATGAATCCTGGATATGCTGTAAATGGGAAATGTACAGAATATGCATTTGTTCATGATGGAAGGAAACACATGTTCTATAATAAACAGAAGTGGTCAAATGACTGTTGTTCATAGAGCACACTGAGGTCGACACAAAGTGCTTCCCAATAGAGAAAACAGAGCAAATTCACCTGACTATTTAAATGTTAAATAAATGTAAGTTAATGCTGTGGAGTGACAACCACAGCGGCCTCGAGTTAAAGACCACTCTAATATAGGATTCTCACAGTTATCATTGAAAAGAGTTGCCACCACAAGAGTCTTTCTGAATGAGACGGATTTCTTGTGTTTCGTGTGTAACAGGCAGCCCAGTCGGTGTTAATTGCCCTGTTCCAGCTCAACACTCCAGAGTTCACCATGCTGCTGGCAGCTCTGCCCAAAACCTTTCAGGACGGAGCCACTAAGCTGCTTCAAAACCACCTGAAGAACACTGGCAACGCTGCACAGGTACAACACACTCCATCTCATCCGTGGTACACGATACCTGTGGATCATTATACTGTGACGTAGATGACATACTTTGTGTTTTTTGACACATTCTCAGGCACCAATGGGCAGTCCTTTGACCCGCCACACTCCCCGATCTCCAGCCAGCTGGTCCAGTCCAGTCACTTCTCCCACTAACACATCCCAGAACACCCCCTCACCAAGGTAACGTAACTGTACAGTCACTCCTATACTGCACACAGTATTATATCCAGTTTTTCTTGCCCATTATTAGACAAAAAAGATGCACAGTCCAAATATCAAAATTGTGTTCCTCTAGTACATGACTGACATACCAAAATGTGTGTATCATACGTGGGTTTCTTTTATGAAAGGAGTTTAACTTTATCTTTTTTCCTGTGTCTGTGCAGTGCATTTGACTATGACACAGAAAACATGAACTCGGAGGACATTTACAGCTCACTGAAAGGTGTCACTGAGGCCATCCAGAACTTCAGCGTTCGCAGCCAAGAAGACATGAATGAACCAGTCCAACGACGAGAAGGAGAGGAGGTGAGTAGAGTAGGCAGAGGGGTGATATATGTGCTGATGCATATTAATAGTCTGTAAGTATGACTCACGGCTGATAGGGAGCTGATTGAAATTTACAGCTTCTGCTGTCAAGCATCGTTGGGAAGTTGTTTTTGCGATTACCAGAGATATCTTTGGTTTTAGGTAAGATATTTACAAAGTGTTCACATTTTCTTGCTCGTTTACTGATGATAGTGTGAAGTCCAGCTGAAATAATGAACTTGGACTGTGGTGTTAAGGTGCAGGCTTAAAATTTACCAAGTGACCCGTTGTTGAGTGAAACATCAGAATTAGGCTGGATCTGTCACATCGGTCAATTATTTTGAATCATAACACCATCCGTGCAACCATCCATCCATCATCTATACACCGCTTAATCCTCACGAGGGTTGCGGGGGGGCTGGAGTCTATCCCAGCCGACTTAGGGCGAAGGCAGGGGACACCCTGGACAGGTCACCAGTCTATCACAGGGCTACACTTAGAGACAGACAACCAAGCACACTCACATTCACACCTACAGACAATTAACCTCAACATGTTTTTGGACTGTGTGGGAGGAAGCCGGAGAACCCGGAGAGAACCCACGCTGCACGGGGAGAACATGCAAACTCCACGCAGAAAGATCCCGGTCGCGAACCGGCAACCTTCTTGCTGCGAGGCAACAGTGCTACCAACTGCGCCACCCTGCAGCCCTCCGTGCAACCAGATTATTTAAAATATTTTATTGTCACCACAGCAATGAAAACCACAAACAAACTAAAATTTACACACATTAAAATAACAAACAGGCAAAAGATGAAGAAATGACCGAATCTTGATACAGATTGAATAATGAAAGCAAGTAAAGTCAACTGAGGTAAACTCACCTCAATGAGAACATCAGTAAGATACAACAAATTAGCACACTTACAATAAACTGTTTGAACATAGCAAATAAATATTTCAAAATGTGTGCCATGTAAAAGTGGTTTGTAAACACTGGGTGCATGGAGAGGGACTCGGGTGAAGCTGCCTCACTGTGCTGAGGTTCAGGTTCTGAGCGGTCGGCCTGGACAGCTGTCATCAGGGAGCCTGTGTTGCATCTGTGAGCATCCCAACAAATCTGTCAGCCCACAGAGCAGACAGCTGGGAGGGTGTTGCTTAAGTGGAGGTGATGTGGGGGGGTGTCTCCCGCCACTAAGGGAGACTACCCCACCTCCAGATCTGCAGGTTGAGACAGCGACGAAGGACAAAGGGGTTCTAATAATCATGGACAGACTGTTTATGAGTCAGGGAGGGAGCACCCTTGGGTTTTGTTAGTGCAGCCAAACCTTGCATTTTCATGATGTGCACTCATGGTGGTGAAACTATCGAACAATTTCTTTATTGCTACTGATGAGGTATCTGTCGTCTGTACGTATCACCAATGGATTGTCGCCCATTACTTATTCAGCAGTCTGGTTAATTCATTTCTCTTGCTGTGAGGGAGCCAACTGTCAGAGCCAGACAATATAATTTACCTAAACTTTGGCGTAACACTGTCACGACTGTGAAGATTAGAGGTGTTGAAAGAAGCAGTCTAAGGAAAATTTCAGCTCTGCATTCTTCACAAATACAACCGATTCCATGATGCTGACAGTATACACACCATTAAAACCACCTGCCTAATGTTGTTTAGGTCACTTAATGCCACCAAAACAGCTCTGACTCGTTGGGTCTTCGACACAGGACCTGATGCTTTGGGTTCTGTGGGTTGTGAGATGGAGCTTCCATGGGTCAGGCTTGTTCCAGCACGTCCGCCGGTCGCTCGATCAGATATGGATCTGGGTGTTTTGGAGGCCAAGCCAACACTTTGAACTCTTTGTTGCGTTCTTCGAGCCTTTCCTGAACGGTTTTTGTGGTTTGGCAGCGAACATTCTTGTTGGTGGGAGCTCACTGGTGTTGGAGAGTGCTGTTTCCAAGGGGTGGTGTGCTTGATCTGAAACAGGGTTTAAGTTCACAGTGCTTATCAAAATAAGGTTGACATAAATGCCAGGATCCAAGATTTCTCAGCAAAACACAGATTTTAGGGAGATGATTAATGTTATTTACTTTGCCTATCAGTGGTTTTAATGTTGTGGCTGGTCGGTGTCGTGCAATTGTGGTGTGTCTGTGATTTGTTTGTGACACAGTTTGAATATTTTTTTGGTTTTGATACAGAAAAAAAAAACATCTTTTTCAAAAGCTTACTTTGAAAAATATATACCAGTCTATGAGAGCAAAGGGATCATAAATTCCCCAAACACGACATGATTAAGTATTCGTCGCTAACTTTTGATGCGTGACAGCTTTTGCTACTCAATGCTGCCAACATATTTCAGTCTGCACTAAAAAAGCGATCGTAATCCTATTTAGCCTTACTGCATGTTTTCCAAGACTTGCACAGACATAAATATACACACACATACATGTACTGTACGACTCCCTGATATCTGATCTGGCCCACCGCCCCTCCTGTCGCGTGGGAACTGAGGCGCATACGTTCAGCGTTTATAGGTCCGATGACCGTGAAGTTAATCCCCCGCAACCGCTGATAAAATCATGTTTATTGTTTGTTATCGTCTCGGCTGCTGAAAACAGGAATTCATCGACAAGCACCGTCTCTCTTAATATTTTCAAGTGCTCATCCAGATATAGTGTGCTTGTTGAGAACAAATTTACGACTTCAGATGTCACGCCAGGTCTAGTTGCAGCCCCCTCCCAATAACCCCGGCCCCTTTTAAGGACACGGTGTACTCGAGTACCGATGTGTGACCTCTCGACATTTCCCCCATCAGATGTGTCTGAAATCCAACCAGCCCACATGTCATCAGCCTGCCAATCACAGCACACCTGACTCATCAAACCACCACTCAGATAGTAGAATTTACTGCTCTGTGTGTAAATATACACACAAACAAGAGCACCTTAGAACCTCGACACTCCGCTCCTCACCTGGAGGTTCATGTGTCGGCCTTCACAAGTTGGCTTGTTTATATCGCCTCAAGGAGACAACATGTTGTCGTCTGAGGAAGCTTCATCTAACATGTCCTGGTAGATGTGGAAAATAAAACTAGCATGTGTTCGAATATATTTTGACCGCTAAAAACATCACACAGCCCTGCAGATTAGGCTGCTGTCACACCTCAGCTGTTTGGTTGTAGTTCAGTTAAACAGTCTGGAGGGAAAACTGTCATTTTACTTCTGGTTTAGACCAAATACATGGACTGAGATCAACAGAAAAGGCTGATAATAAATCCATCTGCTAATTGTGATTTACAGATCAATCTCCTAGAAATGCAGCATCTTCACACTGTAATATAAATCACATCAGTGCAGGTTAATTTTATTTATATAGCCCAAAATATGAAAGCATTAAACAAAATGAGAAATTTTCCTCAGTGGACTTTATAGTTGCAACAATGCAATCAGATGCTTGTCAGTCCACAACGTTTGGAGGTATTATTGTAGCAAAACTATTTGTAAATGTGCATGGAGAGCTGTGTGTCTGTTTGTCAGTCTGTTTGTCTGTAGTGAGATTTGTCAATGTGTAAAAGATTTGTTGATATACGAAGATATTAATAGATGAAAAGTCTAAGTATTTGGCTACAAGTGCTGGAAATACAGACAGATCACCCGTTACAAGTCCAGCGGGCCTCACCATTGGCTGTCTTTTTGCACATGGCTTTTGCTGCACTTCTGCTGTGAGAGATTGGTATCTATACCTTCAGGGTTTCTGTGTCCTGAGCTCAGGCTCAAAGGCTCGTTCATTCTGACTGCGTACCGCTCTGCTGCTCCTTACCTCAGTAGTTGTGCTGCCTGAAACAAATCTTTTACAAATCTTCTTACACATCAACGACACACAGATTGAGACACAGACACACAACTCTTCATACACATTTACAAATAGTCTTGCTACAGTAATACCCCCATAACAAAGCTTCATCTTTATCCCCTGTAAATGTAATCAAAAATAAAGGGCATCTTTTTGTCTTAGTTTCTCTGTGGTTCAGAACAAATCAAACTACAAAAACACAATCAGCCTCTCTAACATCGGAATGTTTGTTTCTCTCTCTTTTGTTTTGCAGGGGGGCAGCGGGTCAGACGGCAGAGGTTCAGACTTGGTGGACGGTGGTCGCATGGCTCTGGACAACAAAACGTCCCTCCTCAACACCCCACTGCTTTCTTCCAGCCCCCGAGGGGCCCGCGAGCACTTCTCCGACTCTCCCTTCAAACACAGCCGCAAAGACACCAGCATGGACGACTCGGAGCATCTCACTGACGGTACACAAACACATGGCGACAGAAAAACACACACATACTGCTCAACACCTATGATAACTGCAACATGTGTTTTTTTTTTGTTTTGTTTTTTTTTTGAACGTGTCCGATCCAGCATCACAGCAAGCAGAATGATGATCTGGCTGCTGTGTTGTGCTGAACAGATTTCCTTTGCCAAGGGGAGCTTTGTGAATATAATGCCTCTCTTGATATTCTGATTTGTAATTATTTATTTATTCATTCTGTTTTATTTCATTCATTTATTTTGGATGCTTGCTTATTACTGAATTGAATTTAGTGTTGCTGGACCTGGAAGAGGGAAAAAGAAAAGCATACAGTTTAAAGACAGTTTTAACACGTGTTCTTCTTGTCGTTCGCCTCCGAGCAGACAGCAGCCTGGACCAATCAGAGCTGGTGGCCGAGCTGCTCAAGGAGTTGTCCAATCACAACGAGCGCATCGAGGAGAGGAAGGCAGCGCTGTGTGAGCTGCTGAAGCTGATTCGTGAAAACACCCTGCAGGTGTGGGACGAACACTTCAAGACCATCCTGCTGCTCCTGCTCGAGACGATGGGTGACAGAGAGGTGAGACACACACGCTCTGAATCTGTAACAAGCGAATGCAAGGGGGGAAAAAAGCATGAATTCCTTTGATCTTAAATCTTTTTATATTCTCCCAGCATGTGATCCGAACGCTGGCTCTGCGGGTGCTGAGGGAGATTCTCAGCAAGCAGCCCTGGAGGTTCAAGAACTACGCAGAGCTCACCATCATGAAGGCCCTGGAGGCTCACAAAGACCCTCACAAGGAGGCACGTTTGTCCACGCTCACACTTTGAAGCAGATTTTATCGCAGAGTATTAAAATGTGGCACGCACAAGATCGATTTTGTTTTATTTCAGGAGCATCAAAGCTTTAAGTAAACAACAGTTTATTTGTCTCCTCCAAGAGTATCCAATGGTGATGTTAATCAAATCCAGCTGATTAGAACAGTTGGAACATACAACGTAATTTCAGGCCACCTCCTTTATGAATAGCTAAAGTGTAACGTTTGTGTGTTTCTGCAGGTGGTACGAGCAGCAGAGGAGACAGCAGCCATGTTGGCCCTGTCCATCAGTCCAGACCAGTGCATCAAGGTGTTGTGTCCCATTATCCAGTCAGCTGATTACCCCATCAACCTGGCTGCTATCAAGATGCAGACAAAAGTGGTGGAACGGGTTCCTCGTGAAGGCCTGATCAGCATGTTGCCTGAGATCGTGCCGGGACTCATACAGGTAACACGCATGTTGAAAATGAGCCATGTTGTAATTTTGAAAGCCAAATGGAGCTTTAGTGTAGGCATTAGCGTCACTGTTAAATCATTTTTTCACACACTTTAAACACTGCAGCTTAAATAATGATGTGGCTAATTTTTGGATTTTTACGTATTTGTCTCAAGACGAAAGTGACATTGAGAGCAACAACGAAAGAGAGACTGAGGAAGTGTGTGACGAAGGAATTCTGAGTCTGTTCAATTCCGACACTGAAGAAGACGACTTTAGAGGTTTTTTGTGCGCAGGAGGAAGATTAAGATAGCGATCAATGACTTTTAGGCGACTGTATTTTTATTTTTTAAACCAGCCATGTTACAGGCACTGTTCGGAAAAAAGCATTTACATATTTGTGTATGTTACCGGTACGTATTTGTAAATATCTCATGTTAGAACGTGGACACCTGCAGCTTATATGTGTACACATTTTTTTTCTTTTTAAAGTTAGTGGGTGCGGCTTATATTCAGGTGCACTTTATAGTCCGAAAATTATGGTAATCTATTTCAATTATCTGTGAAGCTTGACTCGACCTGTTATACTTCTTTCAGGAAATTTGTAAAACCAGTGCAGCCTTCTGCATAGGATAGGTGGTGTGTGACCTTCTGTCACACACCACCTATCCATACGTATACAAATACTTGTCTTGCAGCTACGTAACGCCTTTTATCTCTGTGAACAGGGTTACGACAACTCTGAGAGCAGCGTGAGGAAAGCCTGTGTGTTCTGCCTGGTGGCCATCCACGCAGTGATAGGAGAGGACCTCAAACCGCACCTCAGCCAACTCTCCAGCAGCAAGGTAACCTGAGCTCAAACCGTTTCAAACTTGGAATCATCGCAAGCCAGCTAGCTAAAAATGTGTAGCATCTCATCTCGCTTACCTTGCAGGAGTGTACACCTTTGCACTCAGAGTTAGGAGTCACTTTCGAACGCGTCAACACAATCAAAAATGTGAGCGAACACACATTTCTGCAGGAGAGCAGTGTGGCAACCCGATCTATTTATCGTGGTGTTGTGATTTTCCAGCTCGTGTTTATTTCTCTAGTGGAATGATAAAAATACGCAAGACCGAGAAGATAGGAGCAATGACTTCAAGAGGTTTAGTAGGTCAGTTGTAATTAATTTGTATGCTCCCTTCAGTATTTACTGCTGAACCATATGCCAAATTATATCAACTGTAGATACAGGTATTCCAGTGTTTTTGGAAACTTGAAAGGATGCAGTGGCCATAAATAGCTGTTAAATAATGAGACAAATGCTGTCATTCAATGTTCAAAAAGGACACGTTCAGTTCAGTTTTGCAAAGACACACGGCTGCATTCTGATCAAAGCAGGGCAGTAGGTCGAAGGTTAGTTATCTCAGCAGCTCCGTCGCTTTCCTCCTCACTCCTGGAACTGACTCAAAACGGGTTCCCCTGAGAGCAGACTTGATTTTAGATATAAGACAAACAGTTGCACAGTGAATAGCACCGCGATGTGTTTCTTGGCTAAAAGCTGCTTCACTGAGAGTGTCGACTGCGCTGCCAAGTTGTCTTAATGAAGGATGAAGCCACTTTCACACAGCTGTGGCCTCTTTCTTATTTTCGACCCTTTCTCATAAATTTTCTCGAACGTGTTTGGTTTTGGTTCACTGTGGCTTCATATGGAAACCAGTTCTCCATAATAATTAGAATCACAGTCTTGTTGCGTAATTCTTTGAACCCCAAGCTGGGTGTTGTGTTTTGTTTTGGGGTTTTTTTGCTCCTGTCACATTTTTATTTTGGGCTAATTTATCATTGTAATATGAAGTCTTACACCTTTATATACAAACTACAACCATGGCAAGAAGTAAAGAGAACTCAAACTTTCCTCTGTGCAGTGTAACACGGTTACAATGCCTTAAATCATCAAAAATACAAATCTATTAATTAATCCATTTTTTTTAAACAAAATTTTTAAAAATGCATTTGGAATCAACATGTACATAATTTTTCCAAATGTCACTCTGAATACTATAAATATTTTACAACTGAGATTTTTCCTTTTTTGTCACATGACTGTTGGTCACAGCTGAGTCACTAAAAGCTTCACGGTTGCACCGAGGAGCGCAGACTTTTTAGATTGTTTCGAGTTTTTTTTTTTTTTTTTGGCCTTTATTTGAAAGTGGAGTGAAGAGGGGGACAGGAAAGTGGGGGAAGGACCTGCAGCAAAGTGTCATGAGCCGTATTCGAACTCACTGCCACTGCGTCGGGGACTTTAGCCCTTGTACGTGGGACGCCAGCCCAACCAAGTGAGCTATCGCGGCGCCCCGACTTTTTCGATTTTTACAGAATCTGGTGCAAAGGGTCTAATTGTTGGTGAATTTTTAAATGTAGAATAAAGTGATTTTGAACCAAGCAGGACATCACAGGATATTATTGTAAGGGCCGTTGGAAAGTAGAAAAGATTTCCGTTTTACGGTTTCTGTCTCTGGTAGATGCTGTAATTTTGCAGATTTTATCATTTTGACACACCTTTGAAACCCGTCGGCAAGTTTTGGGGTTCGCATTGTTAATAGCTACACCTTGTGCATCACATTTTACCTGCTAGGACTGAATAACTAGGAACTACATGTTTATAGCAAAAAGGCTTGTACTGTGGATTTTGACCATCTCTTACCTGCACAGACATTTACATGGCCATCCTCTTCTGTTTTTCTGTTTGTAGCTGAAGCTGTTGAATTTGTACATCAAGCGCGCCCAGTCCGGCTCCACCGGCAGCGAACCCTCGTCTGAGGGCCTATAGGAGACACAGCGCCGTCCCACAGGACAACCACAGAACTGCAACTACACCCTCCAAACATCAAACATCTGTTCATGAAATCACACCCACACAGGCCGAGAACAAAACACGGATCGAATCGCTCTCACACGAGCAACCTGCGTACATCCACAGCAGACACAGCGTATACACACACACATTCGTAGGTACACAAAGTCCTCATACGTTTCCCGCCTCGCTGCAAGATGGGAGTGATGACAAGGAGAGGAGTGTTGTAGTTCTCTCCCCCCCCCCCGATCCCTGACTGAACTGAACCCTTACATTTGGATTAAACATAAACAGACTTGCAGTCACATACTCCTCCCAGGTTCGTCACTGATCACTCGAGGATGAAGATATGAAATGTCCGTCCTGTCCACTCTGCTTTCTATCCAGAACACAACAGTGTCCCTTCTGAACAACATCGTGATGTCAACAGCAAACGGAGCATCTGCATGGTTCTCATTTTTCTGTGGGGGTGGGGGGGGTGGGGGGTAATATTTCATCAAACAGCACTGCGATGAACAAAACGGTGCTGTCTTTGTTTGCTTCTTGAACAGTGAGTAACTGGGGCCAGGTAGACGGGAATGTAAATTTACATTGTGTCATAGTTTGGATTTACTTTACGCAATGAGGTTTTACTGCAGTGGTTTTTAATACCTGGAGTTTTGTCTCTTCCTCACACATCAACACGCGTTCTCTCTTTCAAAAAGGTGCTGATGAGCCTGAAGAAAGGTACGACCGACCAACCCTGCACAGCACTAACGCAAGTCACAGCGGGTCACGCCTGCTCATAGCAAATACAGTACATAGACAGGTTCCAAACATAGGAGGCGTTATGTGCTTGGCTATGCATGAGACTAAACTTAAAGAATAACTTTTTATTGGGGTCCTATTGACAGTCAGAATAACGTGACTGGGGGTTTTAAATTAATGTGAACAATGTCCACCCCTTTCAGATAAATCCATGATGTCCTCTATTTGTCCCAGCTCATCTTGGATCACTTCTGGGCAACATGGGGAGGAAAATGGGTGCGTGCTGCTTACTACATGAAGTATGACCAGACATGGCTTATTATCACATAGTGGATATGTATCTATATATGATATTAAAATGGAATATCCAATAACAGTGTCATTTAGGAGAGTCCCCCAGGGGGGTGCACGCGCGCACCTGTGCCCATCCTTGTTTTTATTTCTCTCTCTCTCTCTGTTGCGCGTGCCGTAGTCTCTCTCTCTCTCTCTCTCTCTCTCTCTCTCGCTCTCGCTCTCGCTCTCGCTCTCTCTCTCGCTCTCTCTCTCACACTTATTATTTTTCTCTGCCGAGAAATTTGTAGAAATGTATTATTTACTGCTCTGAAAAAAAAAACAACTGTCATGTCTCACTTTTCTCCTGTTCATCGTGTCTTTCTTTCCTTCCTCTTCTTGTAACATTCTAGTTTTCACTGTTGTGTTTCCTCCGTGCATTTACAAAGCTGTGCTTACAATAAAATAAAGAACTTGTACAGATCATGATAAGAAATGCCTCTTTGGATTTTTTGCAGTATGAAAAAATGTTGATGAATGGACGGATATAGTGAAGTCTTCTCTTACTGCCGTGCTGCCCGTGCAATTCAACACGGAAGACTTATTGTTTTGATTGTAAACTGACTTTAAATAGTAATAGACCACCTCCGATATGTGTAATAAATATTTGCTGTGTAGTTGGACCTTAAACCAGAACATCCTTTGAAATCTAAAACAAATGATCAGTGTTTCTCCAGAAAAACTGCAGCGATCCTTTGGTCCTTTGTAGGAGAAATTAGTTTTTTAGAGAAGCTGTAGCTCGATATGCACAGAAAGTTTTATTTCAGTTGCTGGTTAGATAATTCTTACTGGTCACAAGGAACAAAACTAGAAGACATTTTGAGAAAAATGCCTTTTCTTACCTGTAATAAGAGATCACAATAATAATTCATTGTGACTAGTGATGCACGATATTAAAATTTCTGGCCAATATCCGATATTAGTACTTCTGATATTACCGATATTCAATTTTTGTTCACACTGAAAAATTAGTATAAGTAAGCACTGTGAAAAGAAGCCCATCCCAAGTTAGACCACGTAGTCTTCTATATTATGTAACAAAAGTAAAACATATTTAGCATATTTAACGTTCAAGTCCAGGAACCTTTAAGTAAAAACATCTGTTAAATAGCAGCAAATGTAGTTACGGAGGCACTACTGTTAGACAACCATCGTTTTTTTTTTTTTTACATCAGCTAAATTTGTTCATCAGACCGATACCGATATATCGGAAAAAACACTAATATGAGCCGATACCGATGTGATCGCCGATATATCGTGCCTCCCTAATTGTGACATTTGCTACAATAATGAAGGTTTTCTGTCCCTTGTTTTGTCTAGAAATGTCAGAAATTGATGAAAAATGTGCACCAAAATCTTCCAAAGCATCTCCACTTTACTGAATTTGTCTCAAACAGTACAGAGTTACTGTCAAGTGTGAGGAAGAACAAAAAGCAGTAAATCATCACCAACTGTCACACTCCAGTGGAGAAAAAAAAACAGAAAAAGTGGACAAAGTGCACTTGTAAATGAAGCGGGCTAATCCAGGACATGGCGTAAAAGATAACATTTATGTCTTATGTAACGCCGCTGAATGTCATGTATGCATCTGTTCTCTGAGGCTGTAAATTTAGGAGCAGCTAAAGAAGCTCCCAGATACAGCAGCGGTCTGACCTGCAAAAACCCCCTGACCTCCCTCCAGACTGTCCTCACAACGATTCCCTGCATTACTGCCATGAAATATTGGGAAGAGCTTGAGATGCCTGCATTTTACATTTACATTTTGTGATAGTTTTACTGCTGCAAGAAATATTGTGCTTTGTTCATATGCAGATTCTTGCAAATTTGCAAAACAGGTTATAAACAGTGTATACATAAAAATGAGTTGCTGCAACAGAACAAAAATGTTAAATCAGAGTTATTGTGCAGCAGCCTGAGTGTCTACTTGTATGCTTGGATCATTAGTGCACTTCAAGTGTTTTTCAAGCAGGAGTGTTGCTGCTCAGTAAAAGTGAAAGTTGACCTCTAATTAATAATTAACTGAGAGTGTGTCCATGCAGATGGTTTATCTAATTGCTGGCTGGCTTTTGACTGCACTAAACCACTGTGTGCGTTTCCCCACACAAGGGGGGGGACTTTAATAAAGTCATGAGGCGGGTCTTCCTCCCCCCTCCTCGGGCCAAAATAGCGTCCTGCTCGGAAAAAACTCTTGCCACCCACAGACTTGACCGTGAGCCACGTCCAGGGTCCGATCGGTGGGTAATTATTGACCAGAGAGTGCAAGAGGACGGCAGGAGGGGAGACGCGCTCTGCACAAGTCTGCAGCCTCTCACTCTGCGGACTCAACTTCTCTGCTGTGAATCCAACATGAGTTTGGATCTGGTCGGTACCGGGCTCAGGCGTTGGCAGCAGGACTGAGGAGAAACAGCTGTTTGTGAGGCACGATGTTGTTCTGGCAGCCCTACACTGAAAACTTCCGAGCCCCCGTTCAGAGACACGGCGGCGGCTACACACGGTACGAAGCTCATCAACGTGGAAATGAAATGTTTGTTTAGTTTATGTCCAGCAGTGATAGTAGTGTGTGGAGTTCCCTATAAGACGCGTTAATGAGTAACTATTATTGCTTCTTTCCAGCGAGAGAAACCAGCGTCCCGTCACTGTGTGTGTGTGTATGATAATTGCGGGTGGCGGCATTTTGTCCACAGTTTTCATATTTGTTGACAGTAATGACTTGGTAGATGTGTTGTAGTTTCTGGGAGGCAGAGCGCAACTACAGTTGGACACAATGACGGAAGCTGCGAGGCCTCTGATTGGCTGATCCTCCTGCGCTGGGCACAGGAGGCGGCCTCTGATTGGCTGTGCGCCGTCCTGGCATCATTCCCGAGGCTGGCGGTGGCAGCCCTGCAGGTTTCACGGACCGACAGTCTGTATGCTGAGGGAGCCATGTTGATGCCTGGTTTTGTGTCAAACGCTTCATTTTGGATGGTGAAAGGACTGCGTGGTAAAGACCGGGAGGGGTGATTCCAGCTCCGCGATGAGAAGAGGAGCGCCGTCTGGGATGGTACAGGGAGCGCCAGAGGAGAGCTGCTCTTAGTGGATTCAAAGCAAGTGAAGTTGATGCTAGTTAGCTCCGTAGCTAGGTAGCAACAGCTGTGCGGACGCTGCGTGGGATGCGGCGTGTGGACTAAAACAATTTAATCTCCTCTGCTTGTTGCATTTTGCTGAGCTAACGTTAGCTTGACCGTGTGAAGACTCTGTGCCTGGAGTAACAACGCGGCCGCTGAATTCATGCTAGCTCGCTTAAGCTGCCGTTGTCAAGCTAGCTGCTAGCTAACGTTAGCATGCTGACAATCAGCTCGCATCTTCAGTCACGACTATTTGCTAGCTAACTTATTGTTACTTTCAGGCAGACTGCCAGTCGTGGAGCACCGTGTCGTGTGTTTAACCCCCTCAAAACCCGAGTGGAGATATGGCGGTACATCCAGTCTCTGTAGAAAGCTACCAGTTCGCCTGCCCTGCTCGCCAAGGAGCGGCTAACGGGCTAGCAGCATAACTTTCCTCTGACGGTGTCAACCAGAAGCTGCACTTCCTCGCTAGCCGACCTCGTACCTGAAGCAAGCTGGCGGCCCTCCGAGTAGAAGCCGAGGACAAGGAGCTGGGGCCGATGGCCTGGGTGCTGAAGATGGACGACGCCACCATCGAGTCGGGGCTGGTGCACGACTTCGATGCCAGCCTGTCCGGCATCGGGCAGGAGCTGGGGGCAGGAGCCTACAGCATGAGGTTAGAGACGGAGTCAACAACATGCCAATCCCGGCTTCATAGCACAGTAGTGGGTCGTTAAGGCAGAACAACACCAACTCTGTCTCCAAGTGTTAACATTGCAGCCTCCCCCCCTGCCTGGGTGTGTTATTCCCTTTGTGCTGGGTGTGATGGTTTCTCTTTGTTTTGGGATTTGGAGCAGGGCAGACACTGCAGGGTGCCACGATCAGGGACAAAGATTAATTTCTCTAAACCCACACAAAAGCAATGGAAAGACATGTGTAATACTGCCATGGACAAAGATATCAGTTCCTCCTGTTTGTCAGCTGGGTCTGCTGCCAAAAGATACCTAAACTTTGTGTTGCACTCAGCTCATCTGCAGGGAAGGCCTTGTTTTGGCCTCTCAGAAGCTGGTGTTTCTGTGCACCACAGTGTGAAAGCAGAAAATGGTCAATTGTGTGTGATCTGATGGGACTTGTGTTGGTCTTCTTGACTAGGACACGCTCTAGTTTGTTGTCATCTGCTCTCCTTGCAGCACAGGACGCACCTGAACATCATTTCTGAAATGAAAGCAGGTGTTTTGTCCAACAGTTTTCTGCTGCTGAGATCCAAGACTGATGATTCATGATGATGAACATTTAGTGTCTTGTGTTTTTTGCTCCTTTTGGCATCTCTGAAGGTTCTATGATTTCACTTCCTATGAAGTTTTTCTAAGAAAGTGTGACAGCCAGTTAGTCATTGGAGCAACTCCTGAGTGTTGTATAGCAACGCTGTGACAAAACAGAGAGTTTGTAGTTTACTTTACTCCTTCCTTGATGTGACATTTCTTCATTCAAACATCGTTTCTACTCAGATGCAACAAGACATTCGGCCTGTTTTGGGTTGTTTGATATAAAATGCCAGCTATGCTCCTCACTCCGTGGTATAATAAACACAAGTCTTGTTATGATGTCAGTTCCACCATCATATTTGCACTGATGTCAAACATTCTCAAATGAAACCCAGCTCCAGCACAGCGCTTTTCACTGTGCAGAAAGTGTACGAAACACACACAGTCCAGCAACAAATGTTCATCTTCATGGTGCCAGTTTTAAACAAGCTTCGCAGCAGTACTTGATCATTCGCTTAATTCAGAGACGTGACAGCTTTCTGCATCAATGAAATGCTGGTTAGTCATTACTACTTGATGATTGTTTCCTGCATCTGTGTTTCTTTAATGATTAAAGAAGGACTTTGCTGGCACTGGAGTGGTATTGTTGTAAACCACCTGTTCAATTAGTAATTCTTACTATGTGTGCAGTGTATTATGTAATAGGTGAGTGATATTTGTGTGACGCAGCCAAGACCTCCCAGAACATGCATGTGTCTTATCAGCAGCCTTCTCATCCATCTGCTTTTAGCGTGCGTTTATCTGAGTGTGACGTCGGTGTGTGCCACTCACTTATGAGTGCAAGCAAGTTTACCAATACTCCAGTGCTGGTATGCGGGTAAGTGAAATAGTGAAAACAGAGTGTGTGTGGTGTCAGTGGCTTCAGACCTAATGCTATCTGCGGTGTCAGGGTGGGGTGTGTTTGGAGTCAGCAGCTGGTCGGAACAGAATGTCTCAGTGTGTTTCAGTGGAACGAGCACCTCAGATTTCAGGAAGCAGACCTAGTTTTTTAACGGGCAGCACGGCTTAACACGGCCATGGCACCCAGGTTGGCACTGTCTGGGCACCCACTCTGCAGAGAAAACGCGCCAGCGGGCGATTGAGAGAACGCGATCTGAGGCTGAATATATCTAGCAGGCAGCTGTTTGAAAGACTTTGTTGTTTTGCAGGAAGGAGCTGCAGGAATGTCTTAAAATTGTCAAGTTGTTGTTTTGTTTTTTAGAAAAAGTTTGGCTCAGGTTTAGACTCATGACTTGCCAAAAAAGTTTTCCAGGTAATGAGATGCCGTGATCTGCATTTCTTTACATGGGCAGGACTCTTTTCCTTTTTTTGCACATCGACTGAGATGTACATGCACCCGCTGACACTCCTGCAGCATTTGTCAGGGTGAGCTGAGGACGGGTTGGTTGTCTGGCCAGGCTGCCAAGTGTGAAAGATAGTATATGTCAGCAGCTCTGGCTATCTCTGGCTTGTTTCTGATCATTTATCTGGCCTCATGCATACATAATAAGAGAGCCATTTGATCTATGGAAAGCTTTTGTCACTTCCTCTAAAATAAGCCGATCCACTTAGTAGTACCACACTACGATGAGATAAAATATCGCCTTGCCAAAAGTGGTGTATTAATCATTTAAATTGTACGAAACAATCCGATGTATTGGTAGAGATTTAAAAAAAACAAGTCTTGATAAATAAAGACAGAATTCCTCTTTGCTTTTATAGAGTTCACAGTGATTATGTTGCCATCAGGATGGATGGTCTGTGTGATTCAATAACAGCTCAGAACTTTGACTAACCTGACAACAAAAGCCAGTAATACCGAGAGGCCAAAAGCAAAGACAGTACACCAATTAAACTCTTCAAAGACTCTTTCGATCTGTCTCACAACACTTTTTTTATGGTGGTTTTCTGTTTTCTCGTGCACATCATCTCCGTGCTGACTGTCCGTCTGTGTGTCTCTCCCCTGTCCTCCTGTGTCTCTCAGTGATGTGCTGGCTCTGCCGATCTTTAAGCAGGAGGACTCCAGCCTTCCTCCTGAAAGCGAGACCAAAAATCCCCCATTCCAGTATGTGCTGTGCGCCGCCACCTCGCCCGCCGTCAAGCTGCACGACGAGACGCTCACATACCTAAACCAAGGTGAGGCGCACGACACGCCGCGTGCGTTCGAGGAAAAAGTCGAGCTTGACCTGATTTTGTTTTGCTTTCTTTTTCTGAATTGAGTGCTTACGTTTTTCCACTGAAGACTACCAGATCTCCACATGAAGGCTTTCTGAGGCTGCGCTCCCGCTGTTTGACATCAATAAATGATTAGCACATTAATTTATTGCACATTAGTATGATTGCTGTAAAACGAAACCATTGCTGATGTGAGTGGCAGCCTCTTCTGGCCTCTACACAGCGCAGTAACACTGAGCACCAGCAGTTTGCTGTTTACTCTGTGATGCTGCATTATAGCAAACACGGAGATTTAGTCGACTTAATGGCACATAAAGTTGTTTCTTTTATTGCCTTTTCGGGAATTCTCTTTGTGTCCGTGGCTACTGTCAGATTAATTTAACCACAACAGAAAAGACAATTACAGACAGACATTTAAAAACAAAGTGCTCCACAGCAACATCTCCAACAAAGCACAAGCGACAATCACCTCACATCATGTGGATTCGTTAAACAGCTATTTGGGAGACTATGAAGGATCTCTGGGCACTGAAAGTCCACAGAGGAGGTACCTTAAACCTCATGGAAGCAGCTGGTCTTCACCAAAGAGAATATGTGATACATCGCAAAGGTTTTACAAGATGCAGCAACATGTGAGCTTCCACATTGTTACAAGATTAACTGCAAGATGAAAGTTGCCAAAAACTGAGCCCAGATGATTTAACATTATTCATAGATTGTGTTTACATGCACACCAGTATTCTGGTCATGAGGCTTATCTCGGCTTTGACCATAGCTGGTGTTTACATGGAGCACAGAGCAGCCTGCTTGTTCATATCCCTGGAAGCACGATAAATACTGGTATTCCTGTTACTGAATACAGAGTGCTGTGTGCACAGGTGCCTGAAATATTTGCAAAATAAACTGACAATTTAGTCCGACATTCCTGTAACTGTCTTAGCTAACCTTAAATTAGTTTGACTGTTGCTATTGAAAATGAGGCCACTTTGGCTTATAGCGGGCTTAGCACTACGAGATGCCAATATCGCATTGCGGATTTTGCTTTTTCCACGTTACTGCCAGCAATGGGAGAAGAGAGTGCCAGGAAATATTAAACATGTCCCCTTTGATCGGTGTCAGGCTGTCACTGTGTAGGGCGAGGGAGTGGCGGGTGAAGATACGCAGCTGCGATGGACTGGATAGAGCTGTCATGGTGGAGTTCAGTGACCCCGAGAACAGAGGAAATTTCCGTCTGAGTAGGGCCTTTTACCAGCTGTGTGACACCGTTTATGAAAGCAGAGGAAACGGCACAACGAACACCAGTTCCATTACCGATGAGTGTCTTTGGTAGCAGTTGTAGGAAATATTTCTTGGCTGCTAACCAGTCTGGGGTTCACAGAGGCACAGCAAAGAATTTTTATATGTATACGTTCTGCTGCGGTATGCTGGACCAAACCATGAGTCACCTCATTAAAGTCCCAAATTAAGAGGAAGCTGTTCAGATGGTTTGTGTTGCTGTTACTTGACTTGGCTGTGGAAGCAGGATAAGATGTATACATGGAACAGTAATCTGGTTTTGTTTTGAGTACAGCAGCTAGCATCATGAGGTTCCTCAAAAACTAGGATCAGGGTTTATCCAAGTTACCCAGGATACTTAAGTCCATGTCAACACGTTCATGTATAAAATGGATTGTCTCGATACATATAATACTGAAGTACGTGTGCAATCAAAGACTTCTGACACCTGACGGTCTGCAGTATGTTTTTGTAACTGCGTTTTTAAAACAGCTGAGTGGGAGCTTTCAAAAGCTGTCTGATCATCCGTGTCATTAGGTTGAAATGTGTGGCGTTTCTTGAGAAATGTTGCACAATTTGAGAAACGAATCTTGGAAAGTTGTGTGCCTTGTATACATGAATGTGTTCTCTGGTTCTGTGTGAGAGTTTGATGGAGAGAAGAAAAGGGCTGAACAAATAGTTGAGATATTATTCAGGGGCTGCAATTTTTGGATGAAGGTAAAGTCTTTCCCAACATACTTTTTTAAAGGCAAGATTGTGGTGCTATAGAGATGCCCAAGCCTGGAAATCTTCTTCTCCTGATGTAAGAAGACATGCTTGGTCGGTAAAGACCACCTCAAACCTTACAGCAGCATATTTATATTTGTTTTCGTGGGGGGAAAAAAGCAAAATTTGCTATTCCCATTAAAATCGTGGCTCATATTGCAATCACAGTATGTATGTATTTCTATATTGTTCAGCCCCAGAGAAGAGTCATGTTGGTGTTGAATGGAGTGTGTATGAACAAAATGCATTCGATAACCTGAGTGGTATTTCCACAAGCAAAGCCTCAGAGTCTGAGCATTTGCACAACTTTAGGGCACAAGTGATGTCGTTTATTTCTGTCATGCGCATACATTTGCCCAATTCTTACATACTTGAGACACAAAATGTACTGCCAAAGTCGTGAAACATCTTTATAAAACATTGCAACGAACTTTGTCTGCATCAAGAAGGCTGCCTTCCTGAGACACAAGCAGAGTGATTTGTAACCATTCAAGCAAGAAGTTTGAAAATATGAACATTTTATTCAAATGTGATCCTGTAAAGATTCTTAAAATCTAAAGTGCACTTTTTGCCACAGCAGGAATCAGAGGAACCGACGACCCCCGAGATGTCTTTGCTAAAGAGTCTTTTCTGTTTCGTTCTGAAATTGTGGAAGTTTTTTGTGTCAGATTTTTTTCTTGTTGTTGTTCTGGGAAGTTTAAAAAGATTCAACAAAACGAAGCGCCAGAGTAGATGGGTGGACCAGTGAAAGAGTCCAAGAACTGTTGAGCGTTTTATCAGATCCATTTGGCGGAAAATAGGCTTTTGTCTTCATTCTTGTCCAAATTACATAACAACAAAACAGCCTGTATCCTTTCAGGGAGTCTGTTCAATGTTGAGGAATAGAAACATTTAATGCTTTATGATGTTTTTTACTTTTAATGTAGTGTTCTTACCCTTTCTGTCTCTGTCTTCCAGGCCAGTCTTATGAGGTGCGTATGTTGGACAACAGGAAGCCAGGGGAGTTACCAGAGCTCAACAACAAGATGGTGAAGGTGAGAGGATCCTCCCAGCGGGACGACAGACTTCTCCCTCTTACGCTTAGTGCACTTAATATCTAACGGCTGTGTGTGTTTGTGTTTCTAGAGCACAGTGCGAGTAGTGTTTCACGACCGTCGGCTGCAGTACACAGAGCACCAGCAGCTGGAGGGCTGGAAGTGGAATCGTCCTGGCGACCGTCTCCTTGACATCGGTAAAGATGCCTGTCGAGAAACGTGTGCCTCGACCGTCCCGTGTGTGAGATCCGGAGCTCAGACGTCTGTGTTTGTGTGTGTGAGACAGATATTCCAATGTCAGTGGGCATCGTGGAGCCGAAGACTCACCCCTCCCAGCTCAACGCTGCTGAGTTTCTGTGGGACATGAACAAAAGAACTTCTGTTTTCGTGCAGGTAGCGCACCAACATCCTCACTCGCTCAACCCACACACACACACACACACATCAGCTGTCTTTGTGCCATCTGTTAGACGCGCCACCGAATTTCCACATCAAACGCATATTTTCGAGCACATCGCAGTCTTGTCTACCCGCCGTCTCTGCAGGTGCACTGCATCAGCACAGAGTTCACTCCCAGGAAGCACGGCGGAGAGAAGGGCGTCCCCTTCAGGATCCAGATCGACACGTTCACCCAGGGAGACAGCGGAGAGTACACAGAGCACCTCCACTCTGCCTCCTGCCAAATCAAAGTCTTCAAGGTGCACGCTCGATCATCTCAGGAGAGGAAACGTTTCCACCTCGTGTGTCAGATCTCGCACCAATTAACTCAGCCTTCCTTTTCCGGTTCTCTCTCTTTCTCTCTCTCTCTGCTTTCTGTTTAGCCAAAGGGGGCGGACCGCAAGCAAAAGACTGACAGGGAGAAGATGGAGAAACGCACACCTCAAGAGAAGGAAAAGTACCAGCCTTCTTATGATACCACTATTCTGTCAGAGGTCAGTATGCGGCTGCGACGGACCAATCGGGTTTTGTGTGGCTTCAGCACTAACTAGCACTAACAAGCATCCTGGTTCAGATTTTATTTGGGGCCTGTTAAAACACACAAATGAGCGAAATTTGCTACTGATGTTTGAGCCTGCAATAAATTAAATCTCTGCCAACCATTGTTCTAAGCATAATACTTCAGATTTAAGAGACCAGCAGTCATTTTTATGTGAAGAGCTGCCATTATCACACGGTCTCTTCTGTTATTAAGCCTTTCTTTCTTATTGTTTTCTGACTTTAATTATTTTCCCTCACTTGTATCATTACGCCACCACAGAAAAAGGTCACAGGACTATCTGCTCTTCAACTGCAGTGCATCAGAATATGGTTATATTACACATTTAAGAAAAAAACGGGTCCCCATTTAACTTTTCTCCTCACTGTAATGAACCACCTGTTTCTTCACACATAAATTAATGCTGCCGTGACACAAACTGAAACCACCTGCTGCTGCTTAAAAGACAGAGTGGTGTTAGCAATGCGGGTGTTTTTGTTAGGTGAGGTGGTCCACACTGAGGGGAAGCCCTTCACAGTTTGTAGAAAAGGAGCTAAAATGTAGTCGAGGTTATCAATCTGTCTTTGTTGTGTTGTTGGTTGTGTTGCTCGCTGGCCGACTAACCTCTGCTGTGTGTCTGTATGTAGACGAGGCTTGAGCCCATCATAGAAGATGCGGGCGACCACGAGCTGAAAAAGTCCAGCAAGCGGACACTTCCCGCTGATTGTGGCGACTCCTTGGCCAAGAGAGGCAGTGTAAGCTTCCCTGCTGTCCTCCACTCGTCCTTCTCATCGCTCCATCCACAGCCTGCCCCCTTCATAGACACCCCACTGTAATCTAAGGCTTGTAAACTTATCTGAAATGAAGGGGGATAATGCCGTGGGGTGGAGATGGTGCAAAGCTAAATTCTTAGTCCGCAACCCTTGAGCTCTTTTTTTCAGGCCTGTGTCATCTTCTTGTTGCTCCCTATATGAAGATGTGTGTGTCTTTCCTCAGTGTTCCCCGTGGCCAGACAACGCCTACGCCAGCACCAACCAGGCAGCTACTCCCTCCTTCACCTCCACCCCGCTGTCCACCTACACCACCTCCTCAGTACTGGACAGGTACCCGCGTGTGTTCACTTTGAACTTTAAATACAACGTATGTTGGGTCTCATCACGTCTGACCGTCATTTCTTTTCTTTACAGCGACTCGTCCTCTCCCAATCACCAGGCAGACCCTGGCAGCCATGGCAACTCGGAGGTTAGTCGAGAGTCTCGCACCTGTATGAACTGGTAGAAGAGTTAAAGCAACAGTATGGATGAGGAACAGTTGGTTGAAAGGCAGCAAACACACATGTAAACACGCCCTGATGAAACTGGAAGAGGATGGAGATGACAAAAAGCAATAAAACACACACACACATACAAAAATGGAAGTCATCATCCGACATGTTTAGTGCTGCAACATGTTGTAGGTTTGGGTGGAACTGTGAAATGTGGCCGAGCTTTGTCTGCCATTCTGGCATTGTGTCGGCCGAGCTTTGAGGAACGCTTGATTTATTGATTGCTGTCAGGATGTGAAGAGACTTTCAACAAACGCCACAAAAAGCGCTTTTGAAATACTCCTCATACTCGAGCTTTGAAGGCATGTCACAGGTGTAAATAATCCAGTTATTGATGGCTGAGCTTTGCTCTCAAGGTTCTGGTTGCGTGCGTCATGACTCAGCAGAATGAGTTAATGTTGTTGGTAACATGTGCTTTTCCTAATGTGGAATGTCAGAATGTCTGCTGTGAAAAATGCCTCCTCCACCGCTTCAGTCCTTTAACTTATTAATGGAGCTTATCGGAGTGTGTTTTTGCTTCATTCAGTAATACAAAACGTAAGATTTTATTAGATTTTAATAAGCGATGGGATCATAATGCTAATTACTGTTGTGATTACATCTAGTGCAGACACAAGTAAACAGCAAGTGGAGACACACAATGTTGGTAATTAATCCTTAGAGTGACACTCTGCGTCTAAATTCACATTTCTTCTTCTTCTTGGTTGAATTGCTCCATTTATGATGTAGCATATATCAAATGAAATTGGATGAACTCATCATTACATAGATACGTAATGATAACTTGCCTGGTTTGCTACTGTGCATATTCACTGTAGTGAATGAAGTAATGGCATTTATTTCTGTTAGACATAAACTGAATATTTAAGTTTCTAAGTCATGCAGTGTCCCACCACCATGGTGCTAATGTTGCCACATTCCAGACATTCTCCCACCACAATTGTGTAAAGATATCTACTGTCAACATTATATAGTGAGATACATGACAGCATGATGGTGACATAGTAAAATCTGCAAGTATTATCATATCAATATTGGAGAACCTGGATCATTTAGACTGTTCAGAATGCTTGAAATGACTAGAAAAGAGCTTAAAATTAAAGGTAACAGGGCGCATGGTGTTGCCAGTGAAAGCTGTACATCCAGCAGAAATACCAAAGAAGAGCTGATTGCAGGTTCCCAAAAAACATATGCATTTGTCACCTTGCACAGAGTTGTCACAAAGCAACTTCACAACACCGCTTTAGGTTTGTGAGATGGGAGATAGATAGATAGATAGATAGATAGATAGATAGATAGATAGATAGATAGATAGATAGATAGATAGATAGATAGACTTTATTAATCCCCAAGGGGAATGCAAAATGTACAATACGTGTAATATTTCAAGAAATGTCCTGTGTGAAGTATACTGCAAATAGTGATGATTACTCTATGTAGTAAATATTCTGTGTAGTAGACAAAATAAAGTTCAGATCAGTGGCAGATACTCACCATTCCCAGGCATTGGTTGCATCACACATGCTCAGTGTTGTTTGACTGCTCAGATGGACTGAACGAGTGATAGAACTAATGCTGTGTAAATGTGCTGACGTCCTCCGTGTCCCCCCTTTTACAGCAGTTGAGCCCCACTGCCTCCATACAGGACACACAGAAGTGGCTGCTGAAAAATCGCTTCAGCTCCTACACACGGCTCTTCTCTCACTTCTCAGGTACGCACCGGCCTGTTGTCACGCAAACACACAACGAAACGTGGTTGTCGTGTGACGTACAAGTGACCGAATCTCCTTCTTTTTGCACAGGTTCTGATTTGTTGAAGCTAACCCGGGACGACCTGGTCCAGATTTGTGGGCCAGCAGATGGGATCAGACTCTTTAATGCACTCAAATCCAGGTATGTTGCACATGATGGTTGTTGATGGTTGGATTTAATCAAGCAACCTCTGAGTACAAGTGAAGAGTTCATTTGCAGAAACAGATAACTCCATCTTCACAAACCTTCAGAAAACCCACTTTTCCATCGTCTACCTGAGACAATGTCAATCAAACTTAAGTTCTCTCTACTTTTGTCGTGTCATTTCTACTGAGTCAAATCCACTCAACTTCAGTTTGATTGATATTATCTCAAGCAAACAACAAAAAAATAAGTGTTCTGAAAATCTACAAAAATTGAGTTATCTGTTTTTACAAATGAGCTCTTCATTTCTTCTTTATTGGTGAAGCAGAATAGATCATTTCACAGAGATAGACACGATGAGCAACAAAGCACACACTTCCGTCATTATCATTTCACCGACAACCAGACGCCAGAAAGCGTGTTTGACCTGATAACGTGTTGCCGTGTGTGCAGGTCGGTGCGTCCCAGGTTGACGGTGTACGTCTGTCAGGAGTCGCCTCAGGAGAGCCCCCTGCTGGAGAGACACGGCACCAACGAAAACGGAGAACACAGCATCTCCTCTAGTTTACATGGTGAGGACGCTGTTTGTGTTTCAGTCGGCGGAATAGCGCGAGCGTGCGAATGTTAGCAGGAGTGTGAAACGGCCTCCCCGCTCTGTCTTGTGTGCAGTGTATCACGCTCTGTACCTAGAGGAGCTCACGGCTGCAGAGCTCATCCGCAAGATGGCGTGTGTGTGCAGCCTTCCACTGGGAAAGATCAACCAGGTGTACAGACAGGGTCCTACAGGGATACACATCCTGCTGAGTGACCAGGTACACACACACACACACATACAGACACACACACACACACACACACACAGACACACAGACACAGACACAGAGGTCCTTCACCAAACTGCTTCTCTCCATCTGCACTTTAATACTGTGAGCATCACATTCTCAGCTCTGGAGCGCTCTTTACTGAGTGGAAGCCTTTAGCGGTAAACTGTGGGATGCACTCACCAGTTTCTACTCGAAGCAAGAAAACCCGTCGCCATGGATACCGATAGATGTCTTGTTCGCTCAGCTTTTGCGATATTCTGTATTTTTGGGTGATGTTTTATGCATTTTGTAAGCGAACAGCACAAACAGTTTTCTCCGAAAGTATCTCAATAAGTACTTGTATTAATATGAAATACTTGTGGCTCAAATATCTGAACATCATTTAACATTTGAGTAGCGCCATCATCAGTTCAAATTGTATTTTACCAGAATTAGCCGCATTTGGTGTTAAATAGCACGTTTGCCTGCTAATATACACAATATGTTCATGCAACACCTTAACGCAGCCTGTCACCACTGTCATTGTATCATTGGCATTGCTTCACATATCTAGTATGGCTATAAACTGTTGTATTTACTCCTAGTATGTTTCTTTAAATAAACGCTACATGTACAATTCAAATAGGATTAAAATGACGGCGTTTCATTGGAACTTTTTAAGCACTTTACTTTTTGATTTTTGTCTAAATCTGCCATGAAAATGTAGCAAAGGACAAAAACAATTGTCCTGAATGACACGTGGGCTTCTGTTTAGGATCAACAGAGTTTTACATATCATGGTAGTTTGTATCAGCTCTTCAGATGCTGCAGGGTTTTTCTGGTTTTTCTACTTGACATGACTGAAATGAATCCTCCAAGTGGACTAGAAAGTCACATGCAGTCGTCCTCAAATGTATTCCTACCCGTCCATTAAAGAAAAGGCAAAATTCACAGCAGTCACTCAAATAATTCGAAACTGAAAAAAGTAATAATAAATAAAAAATTGCTAAATTATAATTAAATGAGCACTTTGCTGATGAGCAGTAGGACAAAATCAAAATAAAGTCGTGACTCGATAATCCGACTCTAAATGTAAAACCTTCTTTTATGTCGGATAGCAAGGCTGTCGGATTGTCAAGATGGAGATACAAGGAGGGCTTGATGCTTGAAGGGTCATTTGTTGTTAATATTTATTCTTTATAGTTGTTATAATAACTAGTGTATTGTTAAAACACTACGCATCGCTGGATTTCACACATAATTGACCAGTGCGCTTGTGCACCCCTGGGGGAGAAGTGGCTGGAACACAGAGGCAGTACTTGGCTGCTGATGCCAGTTTAGTTAGCGCTCACACTTCTGTTTCCACCATCGGCGGCAGCGGGGGAGTGGCAGATACGCTCCACCGTTAAACCATAAACACTGAGCACGCTCACTGCGTGTGACGTCGTCGTGTCCTCTTCTGCGCATGCGGGACACTTTTGGGTCATATGAAGTTCACACAGCAGATCACATACAAGTTGCATTTAATTGGAAATGTGAACGAACATCAAGTCCTGCAGTCTGAATGTAGCCAATCTGTGGGATTGTTCAGTCAGATAATACGCCGTTATCCTTATTTGTGACATAAAATGTTGTGTCGGAGTCAGAATCCAAGGCTGTCAGTATGTTAAGACTATTTTTTTATGGGTTCTGTTTGTTTTTCCTAAAAACCTGTCGGGATAGCAAGGTTTTCAGATTGTTAAGGGTCGAATTATCGAGTCACGACTGTACCTGTCAACAGGTGCAGAAGTCTGAGAGTTACAGAAAACACTTGATGGCAGTGATTGGCTCAAAGGGTTGTTCAACAAAATATTAGTCTCCCATCATGCTTGTTCGCTTGTTTTTTGTTTTTTTTTAAATATTTCTGTTGAACCACAGTTCAAAAGCAATGTCATGTTGTTCATTAAATTTTTATTTATTATTACTTTTGTCAATTTCAACTTATTTCTTGTTTTTTTTTTTTCCTTCTTTAATGGGAGGATATGAATACGTTTGTGGACGACTGTAACACCAACAACTACGGTGTCCATGGTGTCTGTAGCCGTTTCTGTTTGTGCCAACAGTTGAGACTACATCTAGTTGCGGTTTTTCTGATAAATATTGTGATTTGATTCGTAATGTAATTTCTGAAAGTCAGGCTTTAGTTTAATATTCAGTTTGCAGTAGATGGGAAAACAAAAACATGACAAAGCACCAAATGACACCATCCAAAGTGTGACCGTCGCAGAGAGGACAACGTGAAACTGTAGCACCACTGACACAACACCCTGCATCAGATGAAACGAATGAGGTGTGGCTATTAAATTATGGATTTATGTCAACTGAACCGCAGCGTGCACGCCTGAACCGTTTAGTCCATCAATAGGCAGCATAAACTACCCCCGACAGCTTCGATCTGCTTGAATTCAATAAAACTGAATCACAGCAGCGGTCTCATTATTTATTAGCCACCTCTCTTATATCCTAAATTGTAGCCTTTGCGTTTTGAAATCAATTAAATTTACGTGCGAACTTGAGACTCAGTAAAGAATCAAGCGATCTATTAGTATTTTATTTTATGAGCTGTCTGATCATGAATGACTCTTATTTGCATGTCACTCACAGTTTCGTGCCGTCACACACACTGTACTGTTTCTACTTTGGTTATCTCTCTGCCTGACTGCCATCAGTGTTAGTTAAAGACCTTTCACATTTGACCTTTCACGCTGTCTTCCTCCTTCCAGATGGTTTACAACTTGCCTGACGAGAGCTGTTTTTTGATCAGCACTGTCAAAGGTGAGTTCACAATGCGACGTCTTTCAGGAGCCAGCGTCTCCCTCCCTGCGCGAGCTCCACTCAGTCTGTATTTGACGAGGATTTGATGTACTTTTCCCCGCTTGTGTCTCCCTCCAGATGAGTTGGGCGAAGGCCTCCATCTAATCCTGAAGTAGTGAGGAGGACAGATGGCATCACTAATACTCCACCCTCTGTTTTGGAGCTGAAGCCTCCCTCTGTCCCTCTCTGCCTGCCTCTACTCTTTTCCTTCTACGTCCTCCCCGTCTCTCCAAACAGATCGCTCGACGGAAAGCAGAGAAGACTGCGCTAAAGCCATGTAAATGTTAGAATCTGACATGGGTGTGTCCACTGTTTCATATTGAAAACATTATTAACAGAGGAGATTAGTTAAAAGAAGGAGAGACTGGGGGAGGATACGGGATTAGGAGGAAAGTTAACAATGTTCTATGTATTTTTTTGATTGATTATTTTATTTTATTTTAAATTTTTTTTTTTTTGTCTTTTTATATGGTTTCTGTGTGGAGAAGGGAGGGTGGAGGCTCCAGGAGAGAGGGCTGGGTGGTGTTCTGGCCGGCAGGAGAAGGAAAGAAAGCAGAGTTTCCTTATTGCTCGTTGCCCTTCCTACACAGCGCACACAACCAGCACTAGGCCAGTATTTGATAACCTGTACTGCTGAACAGCATGCGATCTCATACTAACTTGCTTCTAAAAGGAGAATCCCACCTTTATTCTGCTTGTTTAACATTCTCGACGGGGTTGTCTTAATTAACCATTTATTGATCAGCTCAGCTTGGTAACCCCCTCCCCCCACCTGAAATATCCGGGCTAAATTTGTGGAGACGGCGTCATTTGCGGATGTTGACGCCACGGTTTTTTAATTTTTAATTTTTTTTTTTCCTTGGACTTTGTCGGATGGACTGATTTCATTAACTCTCGTCACGTAGCGTCGTCCTATGTGACTTAGACTGACAGCCATATCTCTGTGTTGACACAACGTCCCGCTCAGCTCTCCTCACGTACGTCCTGTTTGGCCTGCGCTTTTACCGTTTTTATTTATGGATCAGCTGTTTCTATTGCTCCCATTACTTGTTTCTGGTGCCATATTGGCTTTTTTTTTTGGTTGTTTGTTTAGCTCAAGCTTTTACTCACATTTACACACACGGAGCACATACACTTGATCTTCACCTCCTCTGCTTTGTGCACCGACTTTGAACACCGGTTTAGAGAAGGATGGTTCTGGGATTTTAGCCGTAAAGATGCAAGAAAAGATAAAAACCTCTTAAGATTAGCATCTGGTGGAGCAGTAATGCCTATCTAAGAAAAAAAAAAACCTACTATAAAGTGGACCAAACAGGTTTCGGATTGATAGGCGTTTTCTTTTGAGGCGGTCTTGATCATTAGAAGCATTAATAGAGTTGCTCAGAAGTGGAGTTGCTTGTGCGCTGAAGTAATAAATCCTCCATTCCAGATTCTGCTTTGCAAGAAACAAGCCGCCCTGCAGCAGGCTGGTGGACATGCATCACCTGGTTTCAGCAGTCTTACTCGGTAGACTAGAAAAACCACGGCAGCACCACATCCATTCTCAGAATCTTGTGTTTTCAATGTAGCTGAACACGGGAAGAACAGGTCACGTGGTTCGAGTGCCCTTATCTTTGAAAAGCGACGGGACTCCTGGGAGTCGGCGTTGGTTTAGTTGACCTTTTGGTTTTGGTACACAGCGTCTGAAGTGCACAGTTTACACTTCAACGTGTCGGTGATTCAGAATGCGTGTGTGTGTGCATGTGTTTTTTTTTTTGTTTTTTTTTTTGTTCCTGCAAAGAGACTTCATTATGTCATAAACTTTTTTCCTGTTGGTATGAAGAAACTGTGTTTAGCTTGCTATTTAGTAAAGAGCATGTGGAAGACGGCGAAAGATGGAATTTTTGTCAGTGAGTGTAACCCCTCCTTTTTCCAACTGTTAGAGACCAAGCCTGCACTGAATAAATTCACAAAATTCAAGCTTGATGTGTAGTCAGTAGTCCTACAGCCCCACCCTCTTCTTATCCGCCTAACGAGAAGGAGAACAACAACAAAAAAAAAACACAAAACAAAAAAAATCAAGAATGTCGAGACTAAAGAGCGTCTGTGTTTTTGTCTCACCACGCGCCAGAGCCGGGACTGTAGCTCTTGTGGTGTTTACGAGGACATGAGTACCACAGCACAGAAAACTGTGTCCATCAACTCAGAAATTAGCGAGAACGGAGCGGACGCGATACCGAGTCGAGCTAACTCGTTCTGGTCCGCTACAGGCCTGACCGACCTGCGTGTCTGTCTGTGATTGTGTGTGAGAGTGCGAGCAGGAGAGGTGACCACTGTTAATGTACAGCCTAATGTCGATGATGATGCTTCTCATGTGCACAGTATCATATGCTGGAGATGTACACAACCACATGTGCTGGGAATAAATGATTTCATAACTTTCGCTGGTGTGCTGCTTCGTTATTACAGCGAAGAGGTAAATGTGTGACTACAACTGCTGGACAAACTGATGTTGTCATCGCTGTGTAGTTCTTAAAGGTGTAATTTGATGTTTTCCTTCTATTAAGTCAAGTAGTTAAAAAAGAACAGTGAAAATAGATGCAGCAGAAGAAGGAATTACAGGCTTCACCTCCTTTTGAACCACATATTTTATAAGTTATGTTATTTATATTTACCTGCAAACCTGATGAGTGTTTTCTCAGACTTTATAAAGCCTCTACACAGACGACACTTGTTGATGAAGGCTGATTAATACGTCTAATAAACAAAAACAGTGGGGGGAGGTAAATACATACTTGCATACAAAGTTGAGATGCTTGTACTTTAGCTGAGTCTTTCCATTGCTTCTCCATGACATTACAGAAGGAAATATTGTACATTTTTCTCCACTATGTTTATGTGACAGCATCAGGTTAATTACAAATTCAGGTTTTTGCGCAAAAATCCTAAGAAATGTATAAAATATTGTTTTGTTTTAAATTAAACTACCCCAACAGTTTATGCAATTACAGCTAGACTGATTAGTTGATAAATCAATTAGTGAGTTGGCAGAAAATTATTCTTTTAAAAACAGTTTAGAGCACTTTCTTTCTATCCATCCATCCATCATCTATAGGGTCGTGGGGGGCTGGAGTCTATTCCAGCTGGCTTAGGGTGAAGGCAGGGGACACCCTGGACAGGTCACCAGTCTATCACAGGGCTACACTTAGAGACAGACAACCAAGCACACTCACATTCACACCTACAGACAATTTAGAATCACCAATTAACCTCAGCATGTTTTTGGACTGTGTGGGAGGAAGCCGGAGAACCTGGAGAGAACCCACGCTGCACGGAGAGAACATGCAAACTCCATGCAGAAAGATCCCGGGTGCCCCCACTGGGACACGAACCGGCGAACTTCTTGCTGCGAGGTAACAGAGCTAACCAACCTTGCAGCCCCATTTTCTTTCTATTTTCTGAATTTTTACAAACCAAATAATCGATAAGTTATTGGAGGAAATAATCCTAAATTTACCCACAATGAAAATAATATTTGCAATCTGATAGAAAATAGTTTAAAATGAGCTAAACCCCAAACAACTGCAACAATAACATCCTGCTTCTACATTAATGTATGAGTCATAACAATGTAATTACATAATATGTAAATGCACAACAGTCATTGGGGATTTTTTTTTTTTTTTGCATTGATTTCTCTTACAGTAGTACAATTGCTTACTTTTACACAGGTAATATTATTTTTTTCACAGAGTATTTTTACACTGTGGTATGAGTACTTGTACTTAAAGGTTTTTCCATCTTGCAGCATCAAGGGCCTTCTTCTCAGCTATATCTGATTTGCTTTTTATTTAATCATAAACTAAAGAGCATCTGTAAAATAGTAGGTTGAAATACAAAGTACTTTCCAAGATAACTTTTCTTTTATAAAACAATTCCATTGATCCACTTTTATCCTGTTTCTTTTTCTTTCTTTTTCTTTTCTCATCTTGAAATTTGAGGTTATGTTTAGATGACAATATCTCCTGAACTGGACAATCTGATCTCTTGTTTATCCACTTTTTTTTAAAGCAATCATCAATCTAATTGAGTTTTTTTTTCTTTTCATATGAAAACACTTCCTGGCTATACAAGAAAATAATATTTGCGCTACCCATTTAACAACAAAGTGAAGCCGTCTCTTGTGGTTTTGCGTGACATCAAAGGTGACAGTGCAAATCAGCAGCCTTTTGTCGTGGGATGATTAAATGACGCTACGTACGTCTCATAGTTTGTTGGGCAGATTGAAAGTGCGAAACATCTGCCTGAGATCCCCCGAAGCAGATGTTTAGGACTCAGAAACGTGCTAATTTTCACTCAAGCTTTGTTTAGTTTTTTTTTGGTGGTATCAGTTGCTGAATTACACCTGGGATAAAGAGAGAATACAGCTGTTTCCAATTAATTTGCATACAGGACAGAAATGTACCTGCATCCTGGACAGCTGCAAACAGCTGGTAGTTCACACCTGAGTGTCTCAGAGGGCTTGTCAGTCAGCGTGTGCTTGCTCAGGTCACCCAGTTGCTTTTTTTTGCTAATAGACTTTTTAATTTGTCCATCTGGGTGAACAATCATAACTGCATATTTGATCACCAACTAGACACAAGATCCCCTGAAACTCTAAACCCCTAACTGGGATCCTCAAACCCCAAGTTCACTGTGTTGCAGCTGTTTGGTGGTGTTTTTAATTAACAGCTTAACATATGTAACATTGTGCAGGAGTTTAGAAATATGCACTGCTGCAGCATAAATATAAACTGACATAATAAGGCCTTACGGATACGTCCTGTTTTATCAACTGATCTTCACAAATGATCTTAAACAGTGTACCTGTGTATGTTTAACACCTTAGACATTAAAGTTGATATAATGGAGAGGTTATATGATGAATACAGGCAATACAAACAGCTGTTTCTTTGGTCTGGATGACTTTCAGCGCCTGACATTAGTTCTGTATCACAGACTGAATGATTTTAAGATGAACTACCAAACGTGTTCTGATGACAAAATGAGTAACAGTCAAAGAAAATAATAATAATGCTGAGCTAACCTCAACATCTTCTACAACTGGTTCACATGAATGGACCTCGGAGTGATCTTGTTTTCACTGTCGTATCTGTGAAGCCATTTTAAGAGTTCAATATCTCAGGAAATATAAATCACAGAGGAATGAAATTTGGTGAGGACACGGACAAAAGAGACTCTTGTGGATGGTTTTCCAATAGTTTGAACAAAAAAAGTTGGGAAAAAAAATGGAGTTTGAGGAAAGAAGCCCCCGCTCAAACTGTAGCTTTGCTAATGTTAAATATGATGATAAATTGTTTAAACCATAATTTAATACAGAAACATAACAGCTAACTAGCAGTAAAAATGTATTATTTTCAGTCTAAAACTACCTGACTGTAGGTTAAGCTGGTAACGCTATGCTGCATTAGCTTGTTGTCGTGCTGGCTCGCCAGCTTGAATGTAAATGAATTAGCAGGAATCAAAAGGTTAAAAAACAAAAATGTTGTTTTTTATTTAATAATCTGCTGGAAAACGTTATCTCTGTATCCTCGCTTTCATGACAGTTCTGGAGATACTGAATTCGTAAAATGGCTTCCAAGATAAGCTGCCTTTTTTGTTGTTTTTGCAAGTGAAATGAAAAAAATATGTCCAGGTCTGAAATCCCAGAATATTTTACAGAAGTTAGTTTTGGGTTTCAAATAGCAAAAATAAGTAATCTCTGAACAAAACCTGAGTGAATTCTGACTGACTGTGAACATATTGAATACTACTTTTCTTTCAAGGTAGCAATGGTCCAGTCATTGTAACAGGATTATAAAGTCGACGAAAATCTGTGTTTCCTTTTATCGCCAGTGTAGACAACAGTGAAGGCGCTGATGTCCAGAAGAAGAAGAAGAAGAAGAAGAAGAAGAAGAAGAAGAAGAAGAAGAAGAAGAAGAAGAAGGCACCTTGGTGGCATCGGTGGTTGCCATGTTTTCACAAGGTCTGTTCTAAAGAGCTGAATGCAGCAAGTATTATCACTGTTACAGGAACATGTGCAGTCTGAATGGTATCCATCATGCAGAAACACTCACTATGTACTTTATTTTTGCTCTGGTAACTGTCTTCTTCTGTGTTCCTAATAGAAACAGGTGGAGTCTCCACTGGATATGGATGAAGCTCAGAAAAGCACCAATCTGAGGCCACCACGGTCGACTCGGGTGACGAGTGGACAGATGGCGAATCAGACTGGTTGTTTGAAACCGGTTGACTTTTCTCCAGTGACGACAGCAGTGACCAGGAGTCAAACACTGAAGTCGCTGCAGAAAGTAGTGCACCGATTTCAAGGCAAGCAGCTCCAGCGGGACATGGTGGGAACCTGCCAGCCGAATCCACCATCTTCGGCCTTTTGAATTCCACCAGCGCCAAAACCCTCTGCAGTGAGGAGCTCGTCTGCCTCGGGTAAGACCCAGCAAAGACAGTCATATACATCCAAGTATTATAAAATTTTATAGATCTATAAGTCAGATTATAGTCCATTAATCTTCATGTTTGAAGTCCAGCTGAAACATGTATAAATAAAGACAACGAGTCCTAGTCTGACTTGCTACATGAGCTCCACCCTGCAAGGCCTCCTGAATCTGATTGATTTCTTTTAGGAGGTCTACAACCTGCAGCAGGTTGGGATTTCTCCCCTGTGAGCTCAGACCATCAGAGGAAATTCAGATCAGACTGTTTTTGAGTTGAACTCAGACTTCCAGGACAGTCAAAAAGTTACTACACTGTTTATGTACAGCTCGCAGCCTGGTACCACACTCATCTCTGCTGAACTAGTTCTACGGTTTTTGTCAAATGTTTGCCTTGTGAAACAGTTTTTTCTGTACTATTCTGTGCAGGATGCTCATGAGTTCCTCGGCTGTGTGCTGGACACAATAAGATCTTTGTGCTTGGACCTGCAGGCAGCAGCAGCTGACATGGGCATCACTTACACCTGCCCTGTTGGTGCTCACATTTCCTTTGAAATGTTGAACACCAGGACCTGCAAGGGGTAAGAATACACTGACACACACATTTAGTTGTTTTTTGTTGTTTTTTTAAATCTGGGATTGAACTGAAGCTTTAACCCTCTGAACCCCAACACTTGGTGGCAAGTTTTGAACTGAATGGTATCTGTCTATTTAAAAACAGCCAAAACGACTTTTGACGAAATGAATTTTTAATGACAACAAACTGTAAAGA